AGAGCGCTAGCCTTGAACTGAAGAGCTGAGGGACAGTGCCCAGGCCCAGAGTTCAGGCCCCACGACTGGACCAAAAAAAATAAATAAATAAAAGTTCACTTGCAAATTTGGAAAAGCCAATAAATGAGTCACTAAGCACATTTATCTGTGAGTCAGATTCTGCTGCATGCTCTTAAGAGGAAGTGAATTTTGGCAAACTGATTTCTTTTTCTTGTTCAGTGCTGCTCTTATTTACAAACCAGTCAATAGCTAGAACTTCAGAACATACGCACGTGCTGCCTGGACCACAAATCCTTCTTCAATAACACTTGATTATCCTCTGGATCACATGCTCTGTCTGTGGGGCTCTTTCCCTGCATTTGTCCGCCCAGGACTGTGGCCTACAAGTGTCCTCATCAATCTGAAAAGGAGCCCTGGTAAGGCTATGGCTATACAGTGACTGACAGGGGCTCACTCCTCACAGGAGTCCACAGAGATGAGGACAGGAAACCCACACTTGTGAGGCCTGCTAGACCAGCCCTGCAGTATATTCTGACACCAGGGAACCTCATTACATCTAGAAGACATGAAGGCCCTGTTTACGGGGAGGACTTATTAAAGATCAATTTCCAAAACAAGTTATTTAAATCAAGAACCCCGATGCCAACACAATACATTCCTTCATTATCATGAAACACACAATGAAGAACTAAGTCTGTGGATACCCATAGCTTCTTGACACATATGCCAGGCTCAGTTAAAACAACATGCCTCTTTGGGGACTCTGTTCCCCTGTTCCCCACTGGAGTACCAGACTCAAGTCCCCACATAAGTCACTGCTACGTCAGTCCTGTGAAGGCAAGGCAGATCCCACTCAGAATAATCCGCAGAGCTCGTGGGTCCCCGCACCTCCACCGCGTGCATACCGAGCTCATCATGAACACGCTCATGTCTTCAGCAGGGATGCGATTCACCAGCTCCGCACCTTCCAGCAGTGCAGAATCTGACTTGGTCCAACATTGTGATCTGACCAGACGGAGGTACCAGTCCTGGAAAGAAGAAACAGCCGTCAGGCTGGCACTCAAGAGCTACCCCACCCCCACCCCACCAGTAACACTGGATGCCTGGATGGCTGGGAAGGTGGTGGGTATGCCCTAGGCTTGTACCTAACTCACCAGACTTCAAGCATTTCTGGGCTGTTTTCCCTCTTCTTCCCCCACCACCTGGGCAACTTCCTCCAAACTCAGGCAAAGTAGCAAGGGTTAGCCAACTTCACCTCGGCTACCCTCACAAGCTATTGTAGCAACCACTGTCCATTAGTGATCTGCTTCCTTCATCTGCCTCAGCAGCCAGGACCACCGAGGTCCAATGCGGCCCAGGAGTACACAGCAGAACCTGTGTTTTTCTTCACTCAGGCTGCTGATTTCTGAAATCTCAGCTCATCTTTCCTGAGACCCCATGTGGTCTGTAACTCTGAGGTGAGCAGTGATGTTAATGACAACATGCCAAACTGCTGGCAGTGGCAGCATATGCGAGAGGTAGAAGGTACAGGGAAAGGGAGGCAGGCCAAGTCTGCCAACAGTCTGTTGCAGCTGGCTGGAACAGCCAACTTCTGACCTGACCAGTGATCCCCCCACCCCCACCACAAGAATACCACGTCAGCCTGGCAACCGCTCCCCTGTCCTGTCACAGAGCGCCACACCAGCACTGTCTTCCTCACTAGGACACCATGGTTCTCCTGTGTCCACCCCGTTCACCAACCAGAGCTGCTAGTGACTGGGCAGAAAGTCAGAAGGTCCTATGTGCTGACTGTCCTCCACCTCCCAGGCGCTGCACATTCTGCAGAGAGGTGTCAGTATCTCTGTGGGTACCTTGGCATCATACACAGACCCACAGAGCACTAACTTTGTCTGGAATCACCGTTTCCAGTGGCATGTACCCGTCCCCGTCCAGCGGGTGGGAAGTGACCGGAGGTAGGGGGCTGAGGGAATCTTGCACAGTGGAGAGTCGGAACCTGTCCAGCAGGGAATAGAGCCTTTGATGTCTGAAACACAAACACAAATGAACTGCAGTATAGTCTGTCCTTTAGACTTAGTCTCCACATTGCAAACCAGGGTGCTAGAAACAGAATATAAGGAAGAAAAGAAAAGTTAAAATGCAGCTTGTTGAAAACATTCCCTTTGACATTCCAAATGCAAATCCAGGTCCTAGTTACTTTTAACTACCATAATTTTTATCTCGTTAATATTTTCCAGAAATTTCATTTACATTCACATATTTCGACAGGCACTATATGGCATAAGAACTAATATCTTTACTATATGCAAAACAGATCATTGCTTCTAAGATCCAAGTGCATAAACTCTCCTAGTTAATCTCCCACAAACAATTTATGGCCAGATGTTGGTGGCTCATGCCTGTAAACCTAAATTACTCGGGAGGCTGAGATCTGGGGATTGCAGTTTGAAGACAGACCAGGCAAAAAAGTCCCAGTTGGACTCTAATCTCCAATTAACCACTCAAAAACCAGAAATAGCACTGTGGTTCAACATGGTAAAATGCTAGCCTTGAGCAAAAAGAACTCAGGGACAGTACCCAGGTGGAGTTCAAGCCCCACAACCATTAAAAAATTTTTTATTTTATACCACCAGAAAGTCATTTCATACAAGAACCATCTCTGTGGCCCGAGGTATCTGTACTCTTCTCGAATTTCCTCATCTGGACCAAAAACTGCACCGTCCAGAAGCAAAGGCAGTGGCAGTTTGTCCTCCTAGTACCTCCTCCCAGACTGACAGTGACTCAGGCTGCACCAACACTTGGGGCTGCAGACTGAGAAGCCACCCCAGACTGTGTCCTGCCCCGTTTGAGGGCACCATCTGCAAGGCCTCCTAGGACTGGAGTCACGGCAGAATTATGCTGCCATGCATACGCCTCTCCACATGAAGCCGAAGGTAAAAGACTTTTATGATTACCTTGTAATCATAAAACTATGCTCACATTACAGATGCATGTATTTCTGAGAAAGGCTCTGAAAGACTTTTTCAGACAGACGTCAGTGACTGAATAGCTATAAAGACACAGAATTTGACAAGATATAGATGTAATTTGTACATGCCAAGAGCCAGGTAATGCTCTCAGATTCATGATCTCTTACCTAGTGATTTGGTTATGTGTCTTGATTGTACTAAGAGAAAGCTGATAATTCATATTCCTATTCAGCACAGGGCAATAAATAAAAGTAACAAAGTTACTATTCTTCAAACAACCAATAGGTTCCCAGCATCCTTTGCTTATGTAGCAGATGTGAGACTATCTGTTTTTCTCTACTTCTCATACACTTCTCATACACTCTTGGAGATTGGGGAAGCCTTCCTGCCGTGGCAGTTCTACTGCCCACCTCATAGCCTGGCCGTTTCCTAAGCCCATGTGTCTGCTCCTGCACAAGCCCAAGTCCTTCCAATCTGGCTACGGAAACCCAAGCCCGCCAAGGACACAGCCTCACCTCTGCGCGAGCCCACTGCTCTGGAGGTGCTCCTGGATTCTGTTCAGCTCTTCTACTGGTAATTGGGCCATGCTGCTCTACATAGACAAGAAGACATCTGTGAGGAGCCATGATCACCTACGCTCAGGTGAAAACAACAAGCTGGGTGGGCGTATCTGCCCACAGCACAGCAGGGTACAGGAGAAGCAGGTTGTCAGATAAGACATGGAATGCCAAGTTTGCCCCGGTACTCATCATTCTATTGGTGGCTCCATCAAGGCCAAACTTATGGAGAAGAAAACCCAGCCAAAGGGTTTGTTTGCCATGTTATTTTGATATAAGTCAGTGTCATTTTTTTAAGTACCTGTAAATTTGCAGCCAAAAGCATTTCTACCCGGCGGCAGGCCAGGGTGTCAACCATGCGAGCCAGTGCGCGGAAGGGGGTGCCCAGGAGCCTGTCCACATACAGTGTGAGCACAGCGCCCGACTGGCTGAGGTGAATGCCTTCCAAGCACTGCAGCGTGTTCTTCAGAGTGGTTGGCTAACGCCCAAGACAAGGAAGAGACAGGAGCTGATTATTGTGCCAAATGGAAACAAGCACTTTAAACATGTCATTACTCCATGTTTAAGACAGAAAGCTGACAGGCAATAGTTGGCAGACTTACCGTTGAAAGATTTTCACAACGAGATTGGATTGCCTGGATAAAAAGGCCACTGGCAGCAGAATTCCGATGAATTGCACTAATAAAGTCCTGGACTGGAGGCTCATGGGACAGGCTGATCAGATCTTGAATGTGATTCACAATGAGCCACGTTAGGTGCTCTGAGTCATGGAGATTCTGACACTGGGAAAATACAATCAAAGGCTCATTTGCAAGCAGGCAAGATAAAAGGGAGATAGTAATACCACAAGAAAGGCCACAGAGGGTTGGCAGAAGACCTATTTCAAATGTCAATTTTGCCTCACTAAAAATATAGAGGTTATTTGAACACAACTAACATAAGAAGCAGGACATTCAATCTGCAGAGACTGTTACCTCCAACCACAAGCCACGAGACCACAGAAGTCAGAACCCACAGCCAATGCCAAGCTCCCACGAGCAGTAGAAAATGGTCCAAGGTCAGACAAAAGGAACACAGGTCCCTTCCTATGGAGAGGTCTGAGGCCAGAGAAGCGACACATCACCACCCATGGCCCTCTGCTTTCCCCAATCCGTGTACAGCGTTTCCAAACTTACGACATAATCACAGAAGAGAATGAGGGCTCCCCTTCGCACAATCTCTCTGTTGCACATTCCAAGTTGGGCTGCTGAGTCAGAATCCTCCTCGTCAGACATCTGGGGGCTGAGCGGCTTTGTGCAGGACAGACTGTGTCTCCTACAGGGGTGACAGATGCCGGGAGGGTGTGTCCGTGGCAACAATAGGCATGCGCACAGTACAGAGCAAAGGTAGGCTTGAGTCTTGTTCTTAAACAGACAAGGTATCCTCAAATTGCTACGTCACAATGATGTACAAGCAACAGGAAAACAAAAAACTTCACTTGGTCATCTGATGACTGGATAAGAAAAACACCAAATTTGTAACCAAGAAATGTATGTGGAAAAATCATTAAACTCACAGGAAATACAACAGCAAGTTATCCTTCATCAATACAATTTTAGGAGACGTTTTTCTTTGTTTTATTTTGTAAATCACATGAGTGATGCTGGTTTTATAGTTAAAACCTCCACAGAAAGCCAGGCACCAGTGGCTTACACCTATAATCCTAGGCACACAGGAGGCTGAGATCTGAGGATTGCAGTTTGAAGTTAGCCCTGGCAGGAAAGTCCGTGACACTCTCATCTCCAGTTAACCACCAGAAAAAGCCAATAGTGTAGCTGTGGCTCAAGGGGTAGAGTGCTAGCCTTGAGCTTTTAAAAAAGTTCAGGGACAATGCCCTGACACTGAGTTCAAGCTCAAGAACAGGAAGGAAGGAAGGGAGGAAGGGAGGGAAGGAGGAGGCATGTGGAGCACATGGGCAGCAAAGATGGCGCTGGGAGAGGGTTGAGTGGGCAGAGCCTAATTTACTGTAGAGCCCATGGGCAGCCAAGATGGCGCTGGGAGAGAGTAGAGTGGGCAGAGCCCAACTGATCTTCCGATCAGTGCCTAACCAGCCCGTGAAGGCTCAGGTGCATGATAGGATGTGACCTTGACAGTGATTGGTTCCTCTTCCTCCCTTGCCATGCCACCCGCCCTTTTTGGCTTTAAAAAGGGCTGCTCTCTGTTAATAAATGAGTTTTCTACCTGCTGGATTTGGCTCCCCGCTGTGTCTGATTGTCTCCCGGGCTGAGGGAGGCTGGGGAACGGGTGGGCGAGTGCCGCACTTACCTTTCCTCGGACCCTGTCCGTCTTTTGTGGGACGGACGAAGACCCAACAGAGGCAGGCAGGCAAGCAAGCAAGCAAGCACACATGCACTAGTATTATGAACAAGCTGCCTAATGACATCAAAGCACCCTGTCACTTACAGCATGCTCTGGGAACCAGAGGTATCAGCACCACTTAGGAGCTTGGCAGAAATGCAGGCTCCCAGGTCCGAGCAAGCTAATGCCTCCAAGTGTTACCTAGACTAGCTTTCTGGCTGATTTATGTGTACCTCTTATAAGCACAGAGCTGCCCTCCAGACTACTAGAGCTCCTACAGCTGAGTTGCTGTGACAGACCTAAGGCATTCTCTAGGCATTTTGAATACTGTTTGGCTCTATCTCTTCTAGCTGAGTGATCACAAGTAGTCAGGAAGCAGCATTGCTTTTTCCTTTGCAAATTGCACGGAGCATGAAGACAGGCAATCATATCCCTAACAAGATGCCTGGTTAGATAGAAGGCCCGACAGAAGCCCCATTTCCCAGTACCAAGCACACTAGCACTTCTGGATCTTTTCCTTGAAGGGTTTTCAAGCTGTCCAGAAACTGTACCAAGGACTTGGCATGGCTCACTGCTTTCACTTCCAAACATGAGTGAATGTCTGAGTAAGCACCTGGACACCAGGGCTTCAGCCTGAAAACATACGAAAGTGGCTACACATAACCAGAAACTTAACAGTAAGTCTTTCTGAGTAATTTTTTAAAAATCCTATTTCCAAACAGTTGTGAAATTTGCTAAATAATTACTTCATTATCTAAGAATAACCAGAACCACATTTAACTCATAATGCAGTTATTACAACATGTCTCGCTGTGGAACTAATTTAAATCCTGTAACCTAGCAGGAGGGACATGGCCCGACAAGAGCATCAAGCAAGACAAAAAGTGTCCAAGAACCTGTCAAAGACGATCACGTTGAAAAAGCAGCTGCTCGCTTTGAATGCCGATAGTCAAACCACATTCTCCCCTACAATACAGTGCCTATGAAAGGAAGATTAATAATACCGCCAGGATTCCACAAAGCCTCACGAAGAATGGAAACTGAAAACGCCTTCAGAGTAGTCAAGCCTCAAATCACGGAGCATCTTGAGCCAAGCACTTGGCAGACACCCTGGGCTGAAGGAGCCATGTACCTACTTGGGAGTCTGTTGCACCTCTGCCCACCAGCAGTGGTCTGTGTGGTTGACAAGCAGCAGGATCTGGCACCAGAGGAGCACCAGGGCCGGGTGCGTGGGCACCATGGAGCGCACGCGCGTGTTCAGACTCTCTAGGGTGTAGAAGCTGCCCTCACCACTGTCGCTGCTGAAGAGTTTAGTGGCAGCTGCTGTTATTCTCCGGAACATTCCTAGAACCAAAGTAAATGGATTATGGGAAGCTGCCTCCTGTCATCTCAGCCTAGCACCACATAGCTACATGAAGACTTCACATCAAAAATGCATGGGTGGCTCTTTCCCGTGCCACATGGTCAGAGTACGTGGTACTTAGAGAAGTCTGATTCTCTAAGCAGAAATACATACTCTACTCAGGCCAGAAAGCAATGCCTGTCCCTCCCACTGTCTTCCCCTCTGCTGCTCAACACTGCCACATTCTCCAGACTCTCCAAGCTGGGTGCTCCAGAAGCCTGGACACAGCTACACCTAAGGAGACAGCCAACACAGTGTCACACGTCACTGAGCACAGGCCACAAAGGGCCTTCCTGGAACTGGGTCACAGCCGTGAAGCAGCACAGTACCCTCACTTGCTCCTTGGCTTGTTGGTAACTGAGCGACACAAATACCACAAAAGGTTTTTTGGGTGTTGTGGTTGTTCTGAAAATTTAGACATTATCACAGGAGGCAAACAATGTGATCTATTTTTCAAATCTGAAAACATATTCCTTCTGTCTTGAAACCATAATTAATTTTGAGTTTTATTCACTCATTGATTCCAAAATGAAAGCTCAAGAAGTATTTTTCATGGACTGGCAATCGGCCACCTGAGTCACACCTCCACTTTAGGCATTTTGCTTGTTATTAAGCATCTCTTGAATTTGCATGTCCAGCCTGACTCTAAACCACAAGATCTCAGCCTCCTCTGCAGCTAGGATTACAGGCGTGAACCACCAGCATAACTATTTTTTTCTCTGCCAGTCCTGGGGCTTGAACTCAGGGCCTAGGCGCTGTCCCAGAGCTTCTTTGGCTCAAGGCTAGTGCTCTACCACTTGAGACCCAACTCCACTTCTGGCTTCTTTTTTGGTGGTTAACTGAAGGTAAGAGTCTCACAGACTTTCCTGCCCAGGCTGGCTTCAAACCATAATGCTCAGATCTCAGCCTCCTGAATAGTTAGGATTACGGGCCTGAGCCATTAGCAGCTGGGATCATAACCACTTTTAAGTATACAGTTCTGGAATTAAATACATTGACAATGTTGCCCAACCAGCAGCACCACCACCTATCCTGTCTGTCCTCTAAGTGTCTCATGAAAATGAGATCCAACATTTGCCCTTTTGTGTTTGGCTTATTAGCGAAATGCCCTCAAGAGTCACCCATGTTGTAACATATGTCAGAATTATTTTCCCTTTTCAAGATGAAAACTCCATTTCTAGACAGTCCAGCTACCTAATGCACCACATACACACCAGCTTTTGTGTATCGATTATCCCACAGCAGACACCAGACGTGTCACCAGCTTAGCTACTGTGAGTAACAGTTGCTGTTGTGAACATCAGCTTGGCACACAAATCTCTTCCACTCACCCTGCTTCCATTTCTTTGGGCATCTCCCCATAAGTACAACTGCTGGACCACATGGTCTCAGATTTACTCTTTTCATTAGCAAAACATTTTCAAATGGCACAGCAAACACAGAAGAGCTTCCACAGCACAGCCCCATGTCCTAAGAGCACACTGTGCAGGAGAGAAGACACTGAAACACCACAAAGATGACTCCTCATCGCCTACCAGACTTGAAGATGTGGATGAGGCACATGAGCAGTGTGCCTAATTCCTGGCAGTAGAAAGTATGCTGCTGTTCACTCATTTCCACTTTCAGTTGTTTTGTAACAATGTCCTCTAGAAGAACACCAGCCAGCTGTAACAGAAACCTGAAGAGGGGGGGGGGGGGGGTGTAGGAGGGTGGTGGTGGTAGAGATGGGGGTGGGGAGGAGACAGACTGTGAGAAGGTAGCCATCATAGGGAGAGGGCGACAGTGAACAGGTGACCACCACAGGGACGGGATGACATTGAGCAGGTGACTGACTGTCACAGGGAGAGGGCGACAGTGAACAGGCAGCTGTCACAGCGCGTGTAAACCAAGTATATATGGGACATAGACACAGTACGTTAGGTAATGTAAAAAAGGTACACTAAACAAAGTGGCAGAGAATGTTTCATTACCATTACTTGTATGTGCATGCACATGTGCACACTGGGATTCCAACTCATGATCTGAACATTGTCCTTAAGCATTTTTGCTCAAGGCTGGTTGTCTACCATTTGAACCATACCTCTACTTTCAGCTTTTTGGTGGCTGATTGAAGAAAAGAGTCATAGACCTTCCAGAACAAGTTGGTTTTGAACCACAATCTTTAAAAATCTCAGCCTCCTGAGTAGCTAAAATTACAGATATGAGCCACTGGCTCCCGGCCCCATCACTCTGGCTCAGTGACGTTGTTCCCTGTATTCCACCTTCCTCGCTTACGCATGAAAGCAACCACACCACCTTCAAAATGACATCTGTATGTGTGGGGCTTTTTGGCTTTGTGCTGGTCCTGAAGCTTCAATTCAGAACCTCGCATTCTCACTCGGCTTGTCCTGCTCACAGCTGGCACTCTACCATTCAAGTCATGACTCCACTTTTAGCTTTTTAAAATTGTCTGCAGTCACCATGTGACCTCCCAAAAGCTACGCATTACAAGGTTAGACAGAACGCATACCTTGAGAATATTTCTTCTGGCAAACACTTCACTTGTTTCCTTTCAGTGTGTTCTCCCATTGTTGAGCTACTGTCTCCATCTCTTAAACGGTTGATTACCGGACAGGAGATTAAATAGGGAGAGAAGGAGAGCTCCTGAATACGAGAAAGAACAATATCTTCAGTTGACTGGGAAATGAGAACCCTCAGAATGGCTAGGATTCCAGATATCCACAGTTGAACAGTGCTCACAGATGCCTGAAAGAAAGAAAATACATAATTAAAGAAAGAAAAAGATTACAATTTCCCAGGTCGTCAGTTCCCCTACGAGATGAATCGTATCACTCCTGCAGTGAGTCCCTGCGCCCCCGGTTCTCCAAGTGTGGTGACAGCGGTAGCACCAGTGGCGGCTGGGGAGGTGGGAAAGGAATGTTGAGCCCCCAAACGAGACTGAGGCAGCGCTGTGCTCCAACCCTCTTTCCCACGCAGGCAAATTGGGTGCATCAGGTGACTCACCATTGTACTTGGCGTGACAAACATACTCCGCAAAAGCATGTCCACAGGACGGAGGGAGGAAGGGGCCAAAATCTCAAATAAGGTATTTAACACTCCAAGGGCTTCATGAGAATCAATATGCATCTGCAGAATTGAACAGCAGACATTTCCACATAGGCCAACGGAACGGCAGCTTCACAGACAGCAGGCTCTGTATCTCCAGGGCACCCACCACCATGGCCAGTAGCACCCTCCCCTTAGAAGCTTTTAAGACAGCATGGTGTCTGCTGCACTTCTCCCTTTTTCTCTCACTCCGTTCTCTTCCTCTTTTCATGGTACTGGAGACTGAACTCAGATACTCAAGCACTATACTACCTAAACCACTCCCCCAGGCTCGGCTGGATTTATTCCACAATAAAAACCTTCTATAAAAGATTCCAATACACAAAGGTGTCACAATGGACAGAACCGGAGGTGCAATGACCAGCCTTCTGTGCCCTGCCCCTCTCCCAGTACCTCCAGACAGCACATGGGACAGCACACACAGCCTTCCCACCCCACCTCGCCAGGCAGCCACGAATATTAACAAAGCAGCACATTTCCCTATCTGAACTTTCCCATGTCCCTGCAAGCACATACCTACCTTCACAGAGGGTTTTGTTTTGAAAAACCGTATTAGGTAGGTGTTCGCCTTTTCTCACTTAACAATACAATGGAGAACTCCCAAGGCAACTGCCTACAAAACCTGTTACCTTTTTTTTTGGCTGAGAATGGAACTCATTATCTGGTGCTTCTGCTCCCTGGCTGACACTCTTACATCTGAGCCATGCCTCTACCCTAACATCTATTAACTTTTAATGGACACAAATGATTACAAACTAAGCCTACAGCACAATGCAGTCAATCATTCCCCTAGTACTTGCTGCTGACCAAGTCCCACTTTCCGTTACTGCTGAGGGTGAATACTTCCTTCAGTGCCACCTCCTCTTCCTCTAGAATCCCCATGTCCACACGCCACCTCCACCGGTGTGGTCTACAGTAGTGGGTCCTGGTTGTGCCAATGACTCTTCCCATTCCTCTCTCCACAGGTGCTGCCCTTCCTCCTGTTCCCTCATCTAGCACATCTCTTTCCAACATCCTCTTCCTGTTGAAATTCTGCTCTGTCTGCTTCTCCAAAATCCCTCACTAGTGCCCCAGTCCTGGCAATGCCAGCTGAGACCCCAGGACTCCCACATCCACCCCCTTGCTCCTCCATGGAAAGTCTTTCCCATGCTTGGCTTTAGGAATCCCACATCTGAGGTTCCTCACCTCTACCACAAAGAGGCTGTGCCTTCTCCATACTTGTCTGAGCTCTATGAAGCCCGATCCAGTGGGCTCAGACCAGGGCTTTTCTCCAGCAGCTTTATCCACCTCATCCACCCCTCTGGGATCCTGTCTAGAGGCCAGTCTCACCCTTCCAAGGTGTGTCCACTGAGCAGACAGAACGAGGGGTCTCCGTTCCCAGTCTCTGTGTTCTGTCCATAGGACCTCCACAGGTACCCTGAAGTTACTAACCCAGCGCCTCTCCCTCACAAGCCACATCCACATATCCGTTGGTCCTATTTTTATATTGTGTCCAAAGATGCTACTAATGGTGAGTACACTCTGCCATGGGACGGCTCCTGTACACCACTCTGGGAGCCTATATTCATCTTAGCAATCAAAATAATCCAGGTAAAACTCAAATCATATCACCTTGCTCCTTTGTAAAGCCAAAGTGCCTTCTTCCTGTGACTGCTCCACCAGGCTGGTCTTCTGAACCTATCAGGCAGGCTCCAGCCCCAGGCCTCCTCACAGCTGACTGCTGTTTCCAGGTATTCATTAGTCACCCACCCTCCATCCCTCCCATCCCTCCATTCCTGTCCCTCCCTCCCTCCCTTTTACTCAAGTGTCAGCAGCCATTCTGGGTAAGGCCTTTTCTCGTCTCCAATGGAATGTAGCCCTCACTTCTAGGCCTTCCTCCTCAATTTTTTGCACAGTACTTACTACCACCTGATACTTGTGTATACTTTATTCATTCACTGCTCTATCTGATCTTCTATACAGTATCTGTCCCAATGAAACTCTTAATCTTTGATGATAAGTACTTTTTAACTGCTTTGTTCATTAATGTGGCCACTGCCAGTACCCACATGACTGCTAAGCATTATTGCAATAACTCACATCTGTATTAGGGTACTGACTAGAGACCTTGCCAAGAGTTTCATATAATAAACATCAGACATTCACAGAAGCAGATGTTGAGCTGGGCATTTGTATGAATTCAGGCTTATTTACCTGTAGTAAATAAACTCCCATGTAAACATGTCTACCAACAGGCCTGGGGGCCCCCCTGCTCACTCCTAACACTGCTTGTCCATCTCACCACGTGCCCCTTCATGGTCCACCATGGAATTACAACATGGAATTACCTGCTCAGTCTACGTATATATACGTTTTTAGCAAGTGCCAGAAACTGTGACTCGCACTTGTTTAATGTAGACAAATGCTGCCCAGCCACAGCAGGGAGCTGGTAGGCTTTCTGGTGGCAGTGTATACACCCCGCAGCCCTCCGCCACTCTTACAATGGTGTTGGGAGAGGCACAGCCTCCCGCGCCCTGGAGTCCTTGTGGTCCAGAACCACTGATATGGCACAAGTGAGAGATCAGATCTTCCCATTGCATTTTTTGTTTTTTTTGGTTGGTTGTAGGGCTTGACCTCTGGGCCTGGGCACTGTCCCTCACCTCTTCAGTTCAAGGCAAGCGCTCTACCACTTGAACCACAGCACCACTTCTGATTTTCTAGTGGTTTATTGGAGGTAAGAGTCTCACAGACTTTCTTGCCTAGGCTTGCTCTGAACCGTGATCCTCAGATCTGAGCCTCCTGAGTAGCTAGGGTGACAGGCGTGAGCCACCAGCGCCTGGCTTCCCACTGCATTTTTTAGAATAACCAGTTATGTCATTTGATTCTTGAAATTCTGATTCAACGATGGGTAACCAAGTGACTGTAGAAATGATAAGGGTCCAGATCTTGTTTTCAACCCCAACCAGAGAGGGTTATTATGGAAAAAGAAATTCATCTAGGCTGGGTACCAGTGCCTCAGGCCTGTAATCCTAATCAGGAGACTGAGAAATACAAGATCACAATGTGAAGTCAGCCTGGACAGGAAAGCCCAAGAGACTCCCTGTACTAATGAACCAGCTAAAAGTTGGGCCGGAGGTGTGGCTCAGTGTTAAGAGTGCCATCCATGAGCAAGAAAGCGCAACAAGCATGGGATCTTGTGTTCAAATTCTGATAATTCTATCATCAAAGCATAAGTCTACTATGATTTGATGATCACAACCCACAAAACTACACAACAGCAAACCAGGGCCGGGTGACAAACCTGCTGCTTGGCTAACATAGGCAGGATGATGTCGGCGACCTGCCGGGAGAGGCGCTTCCACCGGTCCTCACTCTCTTTGTGGCACTGCTGCAGGACAAGGATGAACATCTCCAGCACCTGCAAGAGTGTTTGTATGCAATTAGGAAACCTCTCGCCCACACAATCTTTCTGTTCCTACAAGTCTACTTCCCACACGGATCCCACTCAGCTGGAAGGCTCTGGAATTCAAACAGATGTAATCCCCATGGAGATCCACACAAATGTGGAGAAACCAGAGGGAAACACAAGTGATGGAGCAACAAGCTGCTGTAGGGAGTTGCATAACTTGCACCATCATTAGTATGACTTGCAGTCATTACTGCTTCTGTGGGATTTATAAAATTGTATGATCAATGATAAGGCACACAATGAAAATTAAACTTGTAGTAAGTTTGGTGAGGTATCCACCCTCTGCGGTGCCCTGCTGCTCTGTGCACATTCATTTCTTTTGCTGTTTGCAAAGGTGCTCTATTAAGGAACATTTATTTCCAAGAGTTGCACAGGGCTGAGGATAAGCTAATTAACAATAATTTCTATACAACAGCATCTGTAACTGGGCAGTGGTATGGTAACAAGGGGTGGCCAGCCTGCTGCCTGCTTTTGTAATGTGCTATCCATGTTCACGCTGACCCTGTCTGACAGAGATGAACTGTTGCGAAGGAGACTGCAGACTTGCGAAGCTGCTCATGCTTATGACCTACTGCTTCACAGAAGAAGTTTGCGAGCCCTGACTTCTAAAATGTAAATGGTGTAGAACACATATCCACCTCTGGAACAAATTCTTTTTTTTGGGGGGGGGGGGGGAATCTGGTCGTGGGCCTGAACTCTGGGCCTGGGCGCTGTCCCTCAGCTCTTCAGCTCAAGGCTAGCGCTCTACCACTTGAGCTACAGCTCCACTTCCGGCTTTTTCCTTTTTGCTTATGTGGTTCTGAGGAATCGAACCCAGGGCCTCAGGCATGCAAGGCAAGCGCTCTACCACTGAGCCAACTTCCCAGCCCCCTCTGGAACAAGTTCTATAAAGTCTCCTCCAACTACCTCATCTCCATTGGCTTCTCTCTTCAGAGGCCAGGTATAGAACTTATATCACACAGGAACTTATTGCCCCGTTGTTTTAAGAAGGTGATAGAGTCTCAATGAGATGTGCTGAGAGAGACTTTGTCACGACCCTCTTCTCCAGGGCTCTACCAGCCCTGCTGTGCCTGCCAGTTCAGCTGCACACACACACCACTCCGTCACTATTTTTTATTGTAATCATGTGGCGTAATTAAACTATTAGGTATATAATGCTACACAGATCGAACAAAATATAAATGCACAATCCCCAATGCACAAGATAGTATTGTTTCTTTTGTGAAGACCTTATGGCTTCATAAAGATTCAAAGACTGAGAGCTAAAAAGAACTAACTAAGTGAACACCAGGCAACAGTGTAAGTTTCAAGAAACAGAAAAATCAAGAAAGCTACATTTCTACACTCAGACTACTCCAAAATGTTTTAAATTCTTGTTCAAGGTTAAGGAAAACAAGGCCAGAAACTAACTAAAAGAAAACAGAGCTTAATTCTGTTAAGTTGAAATTAAAAAAAAAAAAGAAAACAAAAAGAAAAAAAAGCCGTTAAATTATTTCAGATTTCAATTATTCTACTTTTCTGACAACACTGTCAACTAATTGATTCTTTTTCTTTTTTTCTTTTTGTATGCCAGTCCTGGGGCTTGAACTCAGGATCTGGGCATTATCCCTGAGCTTTTATGCTCAAGGTTAGTACTCTACCACAAGAGTGACATCTGTTTGAAGTTTTTTTTTGGTAGGTAATTGCCTGGACTAGCTTCAAATCATGATCCTCAGATCTCAGCTTCTTAAGTGGCTAGAATTATACGTGAGCCACTGGAACCTGGCAACTAACTGATTCTTGAACCCTGTCTTAAACAAAATACCTCTGGCCACATTTAGTATCCTGAATGATGGATAACTGTCAGCAAGGTATCAGTGGCCTCTGGGGCTGTGCAAGTTTTAAAGATCCAACCTCACTACATATCCAGTCACTCCTGGCCTTCTCCCAGTCCCAAGAGAGCCTGATGGTGGTCCAAAGTAACATCCAATATATAATACACAGGACTCCCTAGCATTTCCTTCCAGTGATGTATAAATGACTATTGCCGTTCTTTCCTCTTACCTGATGGTACTGGATGAGTCTCAACAACATCGACACCACCACTTCCTTCTGGGTTTCAAGCTCTTTGCCTGCATCAGCCTTATTTGTTCCCCTTAACACAAAGAGGTCATGAACTATGGGCTGCAGAGCTGGTATGGCTATGGGCACAAAAGGGAAGGCAAGATGGCTTTACAAGAAGATTAGATTTGGGAGACAGTTTTCAACAGCTCCATCATATTTTCAAGAAATAAAGAAAAACTCTTTGTTTGGTTTATAATAAGGGATGAATTAAGATTACCAGTGAATGTTGTAAAATTATCTTGGTATTGTTGTAGAAGGATAAAGTTCTTCTCTGAACACTTACAAGATTTTTAAAGATTTAAAGAAAAAAAAAGAAAACTAAGATTCCTGTAACAAACACAATGTCATTTCTGACAAAAGGTATCCCAAAGCCAGGTGCTGGAGGCTCACAGCTACAATCCTAATTATTACTTATGAGGCTGAGATCTGAAGAACCTGGTTCAAGCTATCCCAGACAGGAAACTCCCTGAGACTCCAATTACGTAGGAAAAAAAAAAAAAGTCAGAGGTGGAGCTGTGGCTCCAAGTGGTAAGTGGTAGAACACTAGGCCTGAAGCACAAAAGCTCAGTGACAGAGCCCAGCCCCAAAAAAGGCACCAAAAAAAGAGGAAATTCATATTTAAAACTCTATTTGAAAACTAAGATATCCAAACAAGCAAAACAGCAACATGATTTAATTCATAATCTACTTGATTAACTTAGAAACAAATCAGTATTTTTCCTATAGAATACATTTGAGTCTGTCGTAGATTATTATACTGTTTTAGTAAAGTACTGTTTAAATTAGATAAAAGAGGTTTTCCCTGTATAAAATTAGCTATTCTAAGAAAACCATACAGAGAAAAAACTACCACAGAAATGACTTGAATTGCACACCACACAATATGACTCAGCAGCACGCTCACACTCTTTGGTGATACCACACATATAGATTCTCTGATACTTGGTGACACACACTGACCTTCAATCTCAATCTCAATCTCTCTCTCTCTCTCTCTCACACACACACACACACGTATAATCAGATGATAAGTGTGTGTATGCATACTTGCTGACCCTCAGTGTCATGGACACACACTTCTACCTACAATGACCCGCAAAGCACACTGCACATTGTGCACCCTGCCCACAATGTACACATACAGATAGAGACTTTAACCCAGGGGACCCTGGCATGTTCACATGTGTCCTGTCAGTGACATGCACGCAAGCATTTTTATATATGATGAATATGTCCACAAGGACACACTTGCTGACCTTCCTTCAGATGACAAGTGTCCCAGGAGCAAGCTCTGTGTGGCAGTGCCACCCTCACAGGGTCTTAAGATAGATCCTTACCAAATGTCAAGAATCTCCAAATTCCTGGCAAAGACACAGGCAGGAGCCAACAGGGAAATACTGAAGACCAGTTTTAGAAGTTCAAGAAAAAGGTTCATAGTACATCCTTAAGACACACACCACCTCTCTTCACGGGCTGAAGGGACTACCTGAACAGCTGGCCGGCTGTGTGGTTCCTACTTAAGCTCAGGTGAAATGATCTACCAACGCTGGCTTCATCCTCAGGCGGGCACTGTGATGAGGTGCCAGGGTAAAGGAATGTCCGCTTTAACAATAAGTGTGCTTTGCTAGTCATTACTTAAATGTGCAGTGCATTTGTATACAGGATACATGTGGACTTATCATGAAAAATAACTTGGTTGAGCCGGGTGCTGGTAGCTCATGCCTGTAATCCTAGCTACTCAGGAGGCTGAGATCTGAGGATAGAGGTTCAAGGCCAGCCCAGGAAAGAAAGTCCGTGAGACTCTTATCTCCAATAAACCACTAGAAAACCGGAAGTGGTGCTGTGGCTCAAGTGGTAGAGCACTTGCCTTGAGCTGAAGAGCTGAGGGACACTGCCCAAGCCTCCCCCCCCCAAAAAAAAAAAAACCAACAAAAAACCAACAAAAAAAAAACTTGGTTGAATATTTATCTCCCCCGCAAAGAGCCCCAACTAAATCAGGTCCCCACTACATCCAAAAAAACAAAAAGCCCACTAAATTAGCCTAATACCCGTGAAATAGAAAACAAAGTAGATTTATATCAAGCTAGAACTGTAAAATTTCTGAGTCTGGGGTTGTAGCTCAATGACAGAGCACTTGCCTAACAAGTGTGAAAAATATAGATTTGATTACAACCCCTCCCCCCCCAAAAAAAGAAGAATAAAAAAATTACAAATACTGTGTTTTCTATAAACAAACAAGGGAATTTATATTCAGAATCTATCTTTATCTTTTTTTGGGGTGCTAGTCCTGGGGTTTAAACTGCACTCAGGGCCTGGGCGCTGTCCCAGAGCTTTTGTGCTCAAGGCTAATGCTCTACTACTTAAACTCCACATCCAGCTTTTTGGTGGTGAATCTGACTTTTTGGTGGTAAATGGCAAATAAAATCTTATGGACTTCCCTGCCTAAGCTGGCTCTGAACCCTGATCCTTAGATCTCAGCATCCTGAGTAGCTAAGATTATAGGTGCACACACAGTGAAAGTGGGCACTCACAGAGTTGAAAGTGGGTAGAAGAAGACTAACACTGCTGGGCATATCATGACACTGAAGATAGGGAAAGGGGTATCCTGTTACCATGTGTCACAGCCTTCCTCCCACTGGCCATGATGCCGTCGCACAGCTGAATGATCTTAGGAATCCCGATGATCTGTTTTGAATGGTAACGCTCATAAGATAGTAATACCAGGAAGAAAAAGATGTTTGGAATAATTGCCTCTGATTCCCTGGAAACAAAAACATCCATTTAGACATTTCTTCTTATTAAGGACACATGATCAATACGAAAAGCATAAACTAACTGAAGATTCAACATCAAGAGGTGGTGAAAGTTCTGAGGTAAAAAAGATTCAGCAATCTAATTTTACTCTGCACTTTTAACAGTGTCCTGGCTCCGTGCACATGGAGAATGTGTCTGCTGGACCAAGCAGAAGGTACCTGACAGCCCTGGATGCCCAGCATATGAAATCTTCCTAATTCTCCACTGTCCCTTCACTCACGAACAAATGAACACTAAAAAGAGAAAAGTATAATGCCTAAAACCACACAATCAAGGTTCCACATAATCAGAGTAAGACCTGGGTATGAGAAACTCAAAAACACTTTCCTTCTACACAGTGTTCCACAAACTTCTTATTAAGTACTTCAGAAAATAAAGAACGGCAATCTTCTATGATTATAAACCTGTAACAGGCACTGCAAAAATGCACTAAAGCTTTAATATATAGTAAGGAAAAGCTGTAGCTAATAACTGAATAATCACTGCTTTTATTAAAAGCTTACTTTAAAAATGCTTTTGGCCAAGTGGCTAGTGGCTCACTTCTGTCATCCTAGCTACTCAGGAGGATGAGATCTGAGGATCAGAGCCAACCCTGGGCAGACAAATTGGAAATAATCTTATTTCCAACTAACCAGAAAAAGGCTAAAGCTTAAGATATAGCTCAAGTGGTAGAACATTGGCCTTGAGTGAAAAAGCCAACCTAGATCTCAAGCCCCAGTACTGGCACAAACACACACACACACATACAAAAGCAACAAAAGGGAAGATGGCTCAGTGGTAGAGTGCTTGCCTTGCATGCATGAGGCCCTAGGTTCGATTCCTCAGCACCACCACATAAGCAAAAAGAAAAAAGCCGGAAGTGGAGCTGTGGCTCAAGTGGTAGAGCGCTAGCCTTGAGCTGAAGAGCTGAGGGACAGCGCGCCCAGGCCCAGAGTTCAGGCCCACGACTGGACCCCCCCCCCCAAAAAAAAAACACACAACAAAAAAGTTTTCTCTTAGAAAAAGTCATGATCAGCTAGGCATAGGTGTCTCACACCTGTAATCCTAGCTATTCAGGAGGCTGAGATCTGAGGATCCCAGTTCAAAGCCATCTCAGGGCAGGAAAGTCCTGCCTGAAATTCTTATCTCCAATAAACTACTCACAAAAAAATGGAAGTAGCACTATGGCTCAAGTGGTAGAGCACTAGCCTTGAGAACAAAGAGGCTCAGGGACAGTACCTAGGCCCTGAGTTCAAACCCCAGGACCAACCCACCAAAAAAAAAAAGTTGTAATTTACAAGGTGAAAAGTCATCATTAAAATTTTGAGATGTAAATTGAAAACTGATAACATATGTAATTACCAGATACAGAACTACTCATAAACCAATCTTAAGAAAGCTTCTATTTATTTTTAAGAGAAGTAAAAAAATGTCTAGCATACTAATCATATTTCAAAGGATGCCTAATAATACTTTAAGGTAAATTTTCTTCTTCACAACATATAAATACAATGATAGAACTCTAATAACAAAATACAATTACCTGAATTGGCCTACTTCGATGTATTCAAATTGTTTCAACACAAATCCAATGAACACCTATAATCAGGAAAAAGTTTCACATAAATAATAAGATAACAATGTTAAAAAAAGTTTTTTTTCTTCCTGCCTAACTGTATAAATTTTGACCACAGATAAGCAGATGAACTTTTGATAATCAAGAATTCAAATCCACCGTAACAGCAGTAACAACAGAGAACTTCCAACAATCCTTTTAAAACCAAGTTGAGTACAAGTGGCTCACTGCTTTAATTCTAGTATTGAATTGGTAGAGACAGGAGGATCAAATTCAAGACTCGCCTGAGATCCAGTGACACTTTTAGAAATAATAAAGAAAATAATGACAGAGCAGAGAATGCACTATATAGGCCTATAATCCTAGCTACCTACGGGATGAAGAAAGAGGGTTCCACATTCAAAGCCAGCTTGAGCAACACAGTGAGAAGCCTGTTTCAAAAACACGCAAAGGAACTGGAGACCTAGCTCAAATGGTACACACAAGCCTCTTGAGTGAAAAAAGCCGAATGAGAGAGCAAAGCCCAGAGTTTAAGCCTTCATACCAACACACAAACACAAACAAATAGTAATTTAAATTAATTAATTCCAGGGCTATCAGGTATCGTTCAAAATCATATCTATTCCAGGAAGTAGCAAACAGAGCAGTTCAACCCCCAATGACACACAGGGCATGGAGACAGCCTCCTCTCCAGCACACAGGGGCATCCAGTACTGAGCACCAGAGGTGGTTTGTGCCGCTATGGAGTCACTCTTGCCCTCTGTGGAGCAGTCCATGGCTCCCTGGCCAGGCCAGGATGCTCCCACAGACCATGGAGGTTCCCATGAAATCACACTGGCGGATTCTGAGGGCCCAGGGTATGATGCTGACGTTCAGCACATGTGCAATGAATAATCATCTGAAACTCAATACTGGATCCTGACACCCAGGGGAACGAACAGGCTGATGGAAATCACCAAAACAAAAGGGAGGCCCACGTGCTCACAGCAAGAAAACAGACTTCTCTCAGGTGGGAGGCTGGACAGGAGCTTGGCTCATGTGAGACAGGGGTCCAAGGTGAAGCACTCGCTATAGTGAGTTTGACACCCATGCAGAGGCCCAAAGGCACAGACGAACTTTGGCTGTTCTCCCTCAGAATTAAGGGTCATTCTAAAGGAGATCTTTGAAGACAGAAGGAATAGCAAATATTACTCTCCTACTTGGAAAGAAAGGCTCCAAAAAATGTGATACGCCTAGGATAGGGTGGGGAGTTGATTTATTTTCTCTGTCTATAAAGAATTCCCAAAGAGGTCATAGTGTCTAAACTGCAATCGGAGAACACCAGTTTCCCAGTTCTGCTGAGTCAGAACTAAGAAAATGTGGGGAAAAAGGCAGACTGAATGCAGCTTTGATGGTTTCATTCTAGAATGCAGCAAATCAGTGCCCTGCTTCCCTTTGGATACCATGGTTATGGCCTGAAAGTTTTTGTCCCTATGCATCTGGTGTACCCCTTTCTGCCCCCACACCCTTCCACTCTTGTCTGTTAATCCTATTGGAGCATGGCACAGACTTGTGAGTTAGGACCAGGGTGCCCACACCTGCTTGTCAGCCACACACCTGACCTTCTGCATCTACTAGTTTCATGAAACAGACAAACAGGAAGAAGCTGGGGCAGGGGGGAGGGGGAATCATGACAAACCTCCCATTTCTCTACAGTAAATGCCAGTATTATTTTGGGATAACCGTTACTTGATGAGGACACAAGGGAGAGTGACAAACCTGATCTGAATCCAGGAGACAGTAATTGACCCGTAGCTGAACCAGCTGTGCCAGCAAATCCAAAACCTGCTTCTGCAACTGCACAGATGTTGTAGTGGTGTACTGTTTTAAAGCTTTTATAACAAGGGGTTCAAATAAACGAATATGGTTGTGAATAGCGTTCTAGTAAAGAGAAAAGAAAGAAATTGATAGCTATGATGTCCCAAGCTCAATGAACACTCATAGTATCAAAGCTCCATGCTCACTTTGACTCCAGCTGCAGGGCATTTACCTTATCAGCTCGATTCTTTGTGACGCTTGTGAGGTTAGTCTTCAATTGGGTGGACACTTTCTGGAGTACATCAAACCATCTGATAAATGGGCAAAAAGAAACAGAAGATTATTTTCCATCTCCTCTGTCCTCAGCTATGCTCAGTTGAAACTACTGTCATGTTCACAAACTCAGAACACGACTAAGGGAAAAAGAACTAAGAAGGTCATCATGCACTAGTACCACACACTGCATGTGTGGCTGCCTGACTGCACTGGTTCTAACACCTGAAAAAGGCTACTGAAGCCCGCATGTGCTGCTATGGGATACCTGCTCCTCAGTGCTGTCTCTAGAATTTGAGAGGAGATGACAGCCATTCGGAAGACAACATTTGATTTTCTTGAGGAAAAAAACCTTTGAGGTTTATGTGTGAAGGCTACTTGGGCCCACGAGCCTGAGATCAGCCTAGGCAACATAGTGAAACCCATACCAAAACATTTTTAAGCCAGGTGCAGGTAGTTCATACCTATATTCCTAACTACTCAGGAGACTGAGGATCACAGTTTGAAGCCACCCCCAGCAGGAAAATCCATGAGACTCCTATTTCCAATTAACCACCCCAAAAAAGCCGGAAGCAGAGCTGTGGTTCAAGTGGTACAGTTCCAGCATTGAGGAAAAAAAAAAAAAAGATAAGAGTATTACATAGGCCCTGAGTTCAAGCCATACTACTGGTACAAAATAGAAGAAACTAAAAGAAAAGGACCTGTGTGTCTATGCTTTCTATATGTGAGCACACTGTTTGCCCCACTGCTATGAGTACAATTTAAGAGTTAGAGTAGTGCTTTGCAGGCAGCCTGAGATGACATAATGTCCAAAGCACAGCCCATTGGCTGGACAGGGCGCCATTTAGAAGGGCCTATGCCTTACTCACCTTTGCAGTAACCGTATTTCCTAAACTTGTTCCAACACAGGAAGCTGTTAGAAGACCCTGGCTAACTTGTTTTTATTTTTACTGCTTTTGCCAAGTATTCCTTGCCTGACATCTGTGTCCCACCAATGGCAGATCACACCACACTCTTACCCCGAGGCGTCATGCTCCTGCTCCACCTGCACCATGTTCCTCAGGCTGGCATCTGCCAGGGCTTGTGTAAAGTGGGTGTATGGAGCCATGAAGCAGTAGTGATACAAGCCTGGTCTCATACTCGAAGAGCCCAGGCGCTGGGCTCGGCCTTGAGACTTGCTGGGGTTCCAAGATAAGCTGTCAAACTGGGAAGCCAAGTTTGTTCCAAAGAGCGTCTTCAGTAGCTGAAGTGAAAGAACTGAAGCATCAGCAGCTCACCAGCTGACTTACTGTAGATGAGCAACATTTTAAGATTCACACTCCCAACTAGTAAGTAAATCCAGCCAAAATTCATAATGTGCATTTCTCATTAGGAATCCCTGCTGCTGCCCAGGAGACCCTGCTGTGCAGTGTGACTGGTGCCTCAGACACAAGTTTGGGTTTCCCTGTGCTTCTATGTGAGACTGGGCATTCTGATCAGAGACCTGCAGAGATAGGAAGACCAGGGCAAAGCAGAAAGGGACCAACACAGCTTCCATTGTCCTGGGCTCTAGGATGGATGTGGAGAGGGGGGAAAACCTCCAATCATCCAGGAAGTGAGAGAATGGCAGCTAGGACCACCCAATCCTTTCTGAACACATCTCCAGCAGCAGCTTCTGAGGAAGCAGCATTCTGGTACCAGGCCGGGGCAGGATGTGGGACCAAGGATAGGAAATGGCACTCTTACCTGCTGAACGCAAACCGTTGCCATCATTGGCTCTCGACTAAAACAGGATTTCAGGTAACCAAGGATCTCTTCAACACACTGTGGAAAGAAAAGTAAGATACTAAGAAATTCACAGATGATCCATTGTTGTTGTGAAACCTACACAGCAATCAAAGATGCAAGATGGCTCCATTTACATTTTGTACATGTAAGGTTTTTAATTTATTATCCTGAACAGTATCCATACAAGGTATTGAAATTAAGCCAGGTGCTGGTAGCTCACGCCTTTGATCCTAGCTACTCAGGAAGCTGAGATCTTAGGTTCATGGTTCAAAGCCAGCCTGGGCAGGAAAGGCCATGAGACTCTTTCCTCCAATTAACCTCCAGAAAACTGGAAGTGGTGCTGTGGCTCAAGTGGTAGAGTATTTTCCTTGAGCTGAAAAGCTCAGGGACAGTTCGCAGGCCCAGAGTTCAAGCCCACGACTGACCAAAAAGAAAAAGGCAATGAAATTTACATAGGCATATGAAAGCTGCTTTCTTGAATACTTTTACACACCTATTTTTTCACTCATTTGTTTATTCAACAATGACCAAGTATGTAGGGTCTATGATGCTTCCAATCATATTTTAGGTTAGGAATTAGGAAGTGTGCAAACGAGTCCAAAGCCCTGCCTTTGTGGATGTCTTCTGGCCTATGTATTCAGCTGAGCACATCACCTAATGTAACACTGTGATTATGCCAGTGACCCCTGGAAGTGTCTCACAGCAATCTGCAACAATGTGTAAAGTAATGGCATTAATGTTACCATGTTCAAGCCTTCCTGGTCAGTGTTACCTCTTCCTTCACCTCCATTTTCCCCCTCCTATCCTTATCCTGAGGAGATCTTGTTTTTATCATAATTAAAACCAGAAAACTGGAAGTGGCACTGTAGCTCAAGTGGTAGAGTGCTTGCCTTGAGCTGAAGAGCTGAGGGACAGTGTTCAGGCCCAGAGTTCAAGCCTCACAAATGACCAAAAAAAAAAAAAAAGTATACAAAAGGATGCATACGTACTATTTAAGTGTAAGAACATTCTATAGATACATACTATATCTTTTTTCATGTGTGCCTGTCCTGGGGCTTGAACTCAGGACCTGAACACTATCCCTAAGCTTCTGTGTTCAAAGCTAATGCTCTACCACTTGAGCTACAACTCTACTCTCAGCTTTTTGCTGGTTAACTGGAGATGAGAGTCTCACATATTTTCCTGCTTAAACTCCTGAACTCTTCAGATCTCAGCCTCCCTAGTAGATAGGATTATAGGCATAAGCCAATGGCCCCTGACACTGCATCATTTTATATGAGGGATATGAGCATTAATGAATTTTGGTATATGCAGTGGGTGAGTTGGAATGGGAATCTTAAACCAATCCTCAGTGAATACTGAAAGAAGACTATACTGCATTTTAGTTGAGGATAAACAAATGAAAAGGGACTGTCTGTGAGTCACTTTAAAACATACTGGACATGAGGCGTGCTGATAGAGGATTAGTGGGGATCTATACAATACAGAAGAAAAACTTAAAGGATTTAAAGAATCTGTGTGGGGATGTGATGGTGTCCACCACAGAATATATGTTTGAGACTTTCATTATAAAATAGAGTAGGGAAGAATCAAAGAACATGAGTTTCCTAGCTCTGCCATAACCTAAGACATGAAGAGAGCCAGTCACTCACACTTGCTCAATCCGGTTTTGCCATGTAAAGAGCTCAAGGGGAAAATAAATGATTCACTAAGCACATTAAAAAACCCAATATTCTAGAATAAACTAGGTTTAATATAAGATAATGTGATTTAGAGAAAATAGGGTATGATTAGAAATGACTCTTCCTCTACCAGCCCCAACCCATGCATTTTATAGCTAGGACACGAAAGTGTTCAGGTCCAGGACAGGAGTACACAGGGGCAGAGAGCAGTCTTCCCGGGCTGTGGTGCCTGGAGCCTGAGGTACCATCCTGGTCCCTGGGCTAGGCTGACATCAGGTTCGAGAGGAAGAAATGAAACACAAACCTTCCCAATGTCCTGCAGTGTCGCCAGCTCTAGAATCTGAGAAAGAACGTCCAAGGCAGAGCGCAGGAACCCCCCAAACTTCTCAGTGCTGTTCTGAAGATCCAAAGTGACCTTGGCAAGGTGGAAGAAGAGAGCACAGGGTTACTGGCACCACCTCAGTTCTGGTTATCTACAACAAAGACACAAATGCCATCTGCTGCAGCCAGAGGCCTCTGTGGACTGGCCATCTGGGTGTGTCTACTCACTAGCTATTTCAGGGATAGTCATCCCATCCTGCCACAAAATAGTAAATCAGTCTTATTACAATTAAATTAAGATTCTGAAGGATCCGGCTTACTTATACAGAAATTCTCCTATTTTCTAGAATCAGAGGATAGGACAGGGGGAAACCAACTTTAGTATGCTTCCAACAGACTAGGAGGAAGAAGAGGAGTCCCTGTAGTGAGACCCTGGGACTTGATATGATGATGTCATGGAGGGCTAGAGCCTGGAAGAGGCTCCCCTCCAACTTCTTCCCCTAGATAACTGAGAAGGGGAAAGAGGAGAGAGGTGTGGGATTCTAGAGTTCAGGTACCCAGAGAAGGCAGTCATGCAGTAAAAACTAACATAAGGGGCTGGGAAGGTGGGTCAGTGGTAGAGCACTTGCCTTGCATGCCTGAGGCCCTGGGTTCGATTCCTTAGCACCACATAAGCCAAAAGAAAAAAGCCGGAAGTAGCGCTGTGGCTTCAGTGGTAGAGCGCTAGCCTTGAGATGAATAGCTGAGGGACAGAGCCCAGGCCCAGAATTCAAGCCCACGACTGGACCCCCCCCCAAAAAAAAAAAAAACAAACTAAGATAAAAGGGACAGCATGAGTGCTTAAGAAGTACTGAACAAGTCCTGGGAGACTGGAAACCACATAAATGAGACCAGAGACAGGAAAAGGATCACAGAGAAGAAAAAAAGGGGGTGTGATATGGAGTGTGAAGACGGAAGGAAAGGAAGAGAAGATGATAAGACACGTATCAGGACAAGTCAGCCACTCCAAACACAGCGACACTGAGGAGTAACATAGGAACAGAGAACCAAGGAAGCAGAAATCCAAGTGACTAAGAAAGCCAAAATTAAGGTGGAATAAGGTTACAGGGAGGAAAAAACGGCAAACAGGGAGAACAAACATTGGGAACATAGGAATGAAGCCTCTAGCTAAAGATGACATGAACTAAGCTAAAACACGTTTTTTTTTTTTTAAAAACCAAAACAAAATAAAAACAAGCTGGGCCTCAGTGGCTCATGCCTGGAATCCTATACTCAGGAAGCTGAGATCTGAGGATCATGGTTCAAAGCCAGCCTGGGCAGGGAAGTCTGTGAGACTTTTTCTCCAAGGAACCACTCAAATACTGGAAGTTGCAATGCTAAAAGTGGTAGGGCTAGAATGCTAGCCTAAAGCTAAAGAACTCATGGGCAGTGCCTGAGTTTAAGCCTTATAACTGACCAAAAAAAACCCCACAACAACATTCTTTTTTGTATGGACTGACATGTGGAACATACTAAACAGAGGCCCTAGACTTGCATAAAATGTGATGATACATTTTTTTTTTATCAAAATACCTTTTAATTTAAAAAAGAAAAGCTTCTCTTTTGGAGGACCAATACTGGGGCTTGAACTCAAGGTCTGGGCACTATCCCTTAGCATGTTTACTCAGTTGATGTTCTAACACTTGAGCAACACATCCACTTCCAGTGTTTTGGTGGTTAATTGTAAATAAAAGTATCACAGACTTCTTTTTTTGCCAGAGTTGACTTCAAACCTCAATCCTTAGATCTCAGCTTCCTGAGCTGTTAGGTCTGCAGGTATAAGCCACTGGCACACTGCATGATTCAAGATTTTATCTTTCAAAATGATCACTATCCCTCAGAAAGAAGCCAGGAGGTTTATAAATGATTTTCCAGCCAATTAAGAAGTTATCTATTAGTACAGTGAAAGAGGAGTATCTATCTGGGACCCCTTTATTGAGACATGTACAAGTACTGTGAGACATAATCTTTAAAAATTCTTCAAAGGTCACCTGGTTCTGAAGTAATTCCCTACACTGGCCAAGCACTGGTGGCTCACACCTGTAATCCTAGCTACTGAGGAGGCTGAGATCTGAGAATCATGGTTCAACGCCAACCCAGGCAAGGAAAGTCCATGAGACTCATCTCCAATTAAGCCGGAAGTGGTGCTGTGGCTCAACTGGTAGAGCGCTTGCCTTGAGCTGAAGAGTTCAGGGACAGCGCCCAGGACCAGTTCAAGCCCCATGACCGACCAAAAAAAAAAAAAAGACTCCCTACCCCAATAGGAAAATTTCCTTAGATGGAAAGGGGGCTAATGTGCTCCAAATACCTGAAACAGGTTTGTGTGCAACACATGTCTTCCCTCGGCAGACCCATGAGGGAGACCTGCACGCTGCTGCACTGTGATGTGCACCTCAGAGGGCGAAGCAGAGGAAACTTGCATACAGAGCTACATGAGATGCCTGTAACCTGGCTGAATGGCCTAAGAAAGAGGCTGTGGTGAGCCTCAAGGGTGCACACCCAACACACCAAGCCCCCAGGGTCTCCCACTTGCATATGAACACCAGCTATTCTGAGAAGTCCATAAACCATAAGAAATCACTTCCCTACTATAAAAATCCCAGATCTGTAAGTGTCTGTAAATATCGGTAAAGCTACCATAAGCCAAGCTGAAAGACAAACTTGGTAAAAACAATCATAATTCGTATCTCTAACAGTATGTCCATACATATATAGTTCAAATCCTAAGAAAAAGACCAACAACCCATTAGAAACATCAAAGTACCCACACATTTGGTACCTTGTAGTTGGCGTGAGTGGCCTTCAGGACATCATGCAGTCTGAGGTAGGATGGGAGATGGTAGAAACTGCCCACTGAGGAAGATTTACTTGCTGTGACAGGGCCTGAGGAATCTGATTGTCGAGAGGCTTCAAAAGTATACAAAAAATAAATGTTTAGATCAAAGAAAAAAACCTGCCCAAGTTAACAAGAATTACTAATAATATGATTCTTTTTTTGGTCGGTCGTGGGGCCTGAACTCTGGGCCTGAGCGCTCTCTCTCAGCTCTTTAGCTCAAGGCGAGCGCTATACCACTTGAGCCACAGAGCCATTTCCGGCCTTTTCTTCTTATGTGGTGCTGAGGAATCAAACCCAGGGCCTCATGCATGCAGGGCAAGCACTCTCCCACTGAGCCACCTTTCCAGCCCCTGGTAATATGATTTTTTTTTTTGCATTTTTTTTTATTGTAAAGATACTATACAGAGGGTTACAGTTACATGAGTGAGGTAATGAGTACACTTACTCTTGAACATTGTTAGCCCCTCCATTGTTTTCCCCCTACCATCCCCTCCCTCCCTCCCTTCCCCGAAGTTTTTTTTTTTTTTGATTGTGATTGATTACATAGTTTCTAAGTCGCAAGTTCATTCTAACTTTCCTGGAGCAAATTGTCTATCAGTCTGTAATATATAACAGTGTTCACATGTTATACACCATACATGTGATCAGCAGCGTGGGGATATTTAGTAGTGGTTCAACCAGATGAGCAGGAGTTCTTTGTTTCTTAAGTCCTGTTAGTTTTGTCGTATCACCTAACATTTTGGATTTATCATCCACTTATCAGGGAGACCATGTACCGTTTGTCTCTTCGCTCTTGGCTGGTAATATGATTTTTAAGTGTTCTAGAAAAAACAAGTTCGGGGGCTGGGAAGTTGGCTCAGTGGTAGAGCGCTTGCCTTGCATGCCTGAGGCCCTGGGTTCGATTCCTCAGCACCACATAAGCAAAAAACAAAAAACCAGAAGTGGCACTGTGACTCAAGTGGTAGAGCGCTAGCCTTGAGCTGAAGAACTGAGGGACAGCGCCCTGGCCCAGAGATCAGGCCCCACGACCGGACCCAAAAAAAAAGAAAAAAAGAAAAAAAAAAAAAAGAAGGTGGAAGAGTGCTTGTCTTGCAGGCATGAGGCCCTGGGTTTGATTCCTCAGCACCACATAAGCAGTAAAAGCCAGAAGTGGTGCTGTGGCTCAAGTGGTATAGCACTAGCCTTGAGCTGAAGAGCTGAGGGACAGCGCCCAGGCCCAGAGTTCAGGCCCTACAACAGACCAAAAAAAAAAAAAAAAAAGTTCGAATCTCACCTCTATCTTCCTGATTAAGTAGAATGAGAAACTAACAAATCAGAGCCTGAGGCCTGAAAAGTAATATGAGATAGTAAAAAGAACACCGGCTGTTCTCGTTGGTTTCATTTGCTTGATTGCTTTAGAAGGCATCAGTGTGTCCACTGGGATCTGTTTCCTGGATGAATGCTGTCTGGTTTTAGGCATCAGTTTGTTGACTGAATGCCTGTAATCAATCCCAGAACCACTCTGCCCATGCCCAATAAGAACTGTACAGACTGGATCCAGTTCTTCCTGCCATGTCAAAAGTCTGGCACCTTTTCTCTGACCTTTTCCCAGGTACTGAAGCCCCTTCCAACATCTGTGAATTTTCCAGTCTTTTGCAGCTGACTTTACCCCTTTCTTTAGCGGTCTGTTTTTCAAATAGGTACCACATAGCCAGCTCCCACATTTGTTGTCTCTTCTAAATGCAAATTCTATTTCCTACTCCAAAATCCCTACCAAACCACAATCAGGTCTACACACACACTCGAAGCTATCCATACTACCTCCTCTAGTGAAATCACAGCTACCTCCATTGCCACAGCCAGATGACTTCCAAGCAAAAGTGACTGCTTTTCAGTAAGTAACAGTTATAGATGCTAAGGCCAAAGAGTGTGCTGCTGACAAATAGCACGTTTATTAACTGAAGCAATTCAGAGAACTCCCATTGACTTCCTTGCTAGGTACTAGATTTCCGTACAGCACCAAGTATTGTATGGATCTCAACAGGACGGTAAGCTTAAGTCCCACCCTTCTGCAGCACAGACAGCACCTGTCCCTCCCTACCCAGCACGTGTTCCTTACCTGTATTGGCCTCATTGCCTTTCTTGGGACTGGGTGGAACAGATACCTGTTCTGGTTCTCTCTCCTTCCCCTTTCGCCGGATGGGACTTAGGGAAGGGGGGTTTGCTAGAGAAGGCAAGGCTGCCTGAAACAGAAAACAAAAATGAGGTAGGAGTATGGCCAACAGACAATGGGAACTAAAACGACTCATATATGGTTTTGCCATATAGTGAAAAGCGCTAACCATACAACCCACCTTGTTCTTTAAGCCTGTCTTTAACAGAGCTCTGAGCGACAAATGCCTGTACTCATCCACACAACAGGTTGCACCTGGTAGGTGAAGCCCAAAACTTCTTCACAGCTGCATGGTGAATGTGTTGCAGATGCACAGGGTTCTTGGGCTATGACAAGGACCAGAGGCCACCGGCACCCCTCTAATAGTAGGCAACTGGGGTGTTCTATAGGAGCCATGACGTGCACAGGACAGGGTCCTGTTTTAAATGTCACTTTTCAAGTGACTCACTCAAGGTCACAGTTAACAAGCAGCACAGCCAGGAGCCAGCAAGTACAGACACAGCCACATTCTTTCCCCTCCATGAGTGAATATGGACTACCCGGCTCCCATGCCAGAGGCGGGGGCCAGCACGGACAGAGTGCCAATGACAGAGCCGCACTTCTAGTCCTTGCTCTGCTACTCACTTTCTCCCCAACCTTCACAAAGTGCCCACACAATGTCCCTGCCACTGAGCTGTTGAAACTTAACCTCTAAGATAATATATTAGGAAGTGGGCAATTGGAGATGAGGCCAGGTGAGTGGGACCCTCATAAAGGGAATTAGTTCTTAAAAAAAAAACCAGCCGGGCGCCGGTGGCTCACGCCTGTAATCCTAGCTACTCAGGAGGCTGAGATCTGAGGATCACCGTTCAAAGCCAGCCCAGGCAGGAAAGTCCGTGAGACTCCTATCTCCAATAAACCACTAGAAAACCGGAAGTGGCGCTGTAGCTCAAGTGGTAGAGAGCTCACCTTGAGCTGAAGAGTGCAAGGACAGTGCCCAAGCCCAGAGTTCAAGCCCACGAAGACACTGTAAGAAGACAGTTCTAGGAGAGAATGGGCCCAAACAGAAGAAATATCTGTCAGCACCTTGATCTGACTTCTAGCCCCAGAACCATGCCACTCAGGATATGCCATTTTGTGATGGCAACTCAAACGAAGACCGAGCTTCATCTGTAAGGACGTCATCCTGGGCAAATGGCCATAGTAAATGTCTATGGGAATGGGCAGAGGGAACAGGAAAGACTACAGAGGCTAGGTGAGAGGGTCTGTACAAGGCCCCAAGAGCAAAAGCCCATCTGTAGGACTGTACAGAAGAGGCTTCCGAAGACAGAAAGCAGATCAACGGCTGACTGCTTGGAGCCAGGGGCATAGAAGGTTTTGGAGGAAAAGCACAGGCTTCTTTTGGGAGTCTAAAGTTGACTGTGGTGATAACAACTCTATGTCATACTTTAAAAGAAAATGAATTGTGGAAGTAGTGCTAGAGCACTAGCCTTGAGTAAAAGAGCTCAGGAACGTGCACACCCAGGCCCTGAGTTCAAGCCCCATGACTGACAAAAAAAATTTATTTGTCATAGAGGCTGGGAATGTGGCTTCGTGGTAGAGTTCTTCCCTAGCATGCATGAAGCCCTGGGTTCACTTCCTCAGTAACATTTAAACAGAAAAAAACAGAAGTGGTGCTGTGGCTCAAGTGGTAGAATGCTAGCCTTGAGCAAAAGAAGCTCAGGGATAGTACCCAGGCATTGAGTTCAAGCCCCAGAACTTGCAAAAAAAGAAAAAGAAAGAATTGTATATTTTAATTATGTAATATGTAAACTACACTAATAATATTATTTCCAAAACTAGGCAAAATAGAGATACTACATCAGTCTGTTCAGAACAAACTGAGAGAAAGAAAAGGAGAAAAGGATATGGTCAGGGATGTGTATATTTACATGAATACATATAAGTATACATATGAGTTTTTTTTGCAAGGTATTTATTTTTATTTTTACTGTGAAAATACCGTTCAGAGGTGTTACAATTATATGGACCAGGTAATGTGTGCATTTCTTATCAAGTATTGTTGCCTCCCCTTCCCATCCCTTCCCATCTCCACCCCCCAAAGCCCCCCACCCCCTTGCAAGGTATTTAATAGGAAAAATAAAGGACTTGCCGACCCAGAATGAAGAGCTATCATGGCTCCTATCTCTGGCTAAAAAAATACAAAGTGAGGGAAGAGGCACAGGCACAGACATGGGGAGGGGATTAGAAGCTCAGTTCACCATGTTCAACACATCTACGATCCACCAAACAGAAGCACCATGTGGAAGTCCACTGGGCACATGTGTCTGCAACTCCAGACTGTCCTGTCCACTGCTGAGACACTACCACTAGGTAGGTGGCTATTTACATTCAAACTTAATGAAAACTGAACAAGCTTTAAGTTCAGAAGACACACTAGCCACTTTGAAGAGCTCATGAATCCTGTGTGGTTAGTGATGCTGCTGCAGCTGCCATGGACACAGGCTACATCCACTGACGTCAGAGGCTCTACTCGACATAGATGGTCCAGACAGTAGAAAGAGAAGATGACCCAAGACAGAGCTTTAACAGTGGGGAGGAAAAACTGAACAAGGCAGTGCTGGGGGCGCTGAAGGAAACACAAGAGACAGACTAGAGCGAATGCTCAGAGGCTGAAGGGGGAAGAAGGAAAGAGATAGAGAAGAGTCCTGGAGAAATGATACTGGCAGGAAGAGTGTGTGGGGTGTGATAGCAGAAATCAGGCTAGCAAAGGTTAAAGAGAGATGAAATAGAGGGTCAGAGTCCAGCTGTACAAGGCCCGAGAAACCTCATTCTAAAGGTCCATATCTGAGAAGGGGTAAAGGCTAGGTGTTGGGATGGGAGACTGAATTTTCAGAAGGCATTGCAGAAGAAGAAAACCAGAAGATAGAATGGTTTAAAGATGAAAGACACAATGCTAGGCGTAGTGGCTTACGCCTGTAATCCTAGCTACTCAGGAGGCTGAGATCTGAAAAATAAAAAAAGATGAAAGACACAGAAAAGAGAAGAACCACATGTAACTGTAAGTGAACTGGTAAATCTGAAGTTCATTGTGTGAATACTTTAACATTTGTTTTAGTGTTCTTTTTTTTTGGGGGGGGGTCAGTTTTGTGGCTTGAACTCTGGGCCTGGGTGCTGTCCCTGAGCTCTTCAGCTTAAGACAAGTGCTCTACCACTTGAGCCACAGCACCACTTCTGATTTTCTGGTGGTTAATTGGAGATAAGAGCCTCCCAAATGTTCCTGCCTGGGCTGGCTTTGAACCACAATCCTCAGTGTTGATTTTTTTTTTTTTTTGGTCAGTTGTGTGGCTTGAACTCTGAGCCTGGGGGCTGTCCCTCAGCTCTTCAGCTCAAGGCTAGTGATCTACCACTGGAGCCACAGTGCCACTTCCCATTTCTGATTTTTGAGTGATTATTTGGAGATAAGAGTCTCACAGGGACTTTTCTGGTACATGATAGCCAGGACCATACTGAGCTCAAAGGAGCTTGGCCTCACTAAGGGGCTAGACTGGGAAAATGCTGCTCTCCAGCAACACACAGCCCGGAACAGCTGCCACTGCACATATTCACAAAAGCCAGAAACATCAGAGATATCTGGAGTGAAGGAACCAGCTATCCTGGAAAATGACCAACAATTCTTTTCCCTTGTGTGTGCCCCTCTTCCCCCCACCAAGACGGTAATCAGAGATAAAAGTCTTTTAAAATAAATAACCATAGTTTTGATGTTAAATGAATCATCAGGATATGCGTGATATGGTTTACTTACAGATAAAGTGAGTGAGGAAAAGGAAAGGATGGCTAAAGCAAGGTGTTCTGGAAGCCCAGTCGCCAGGGCTGCCTTGAAGAAGACGTTACCTTAATTGCTGGCCCCGGAGTCACATCATCCAAGACGTGAGCACAGATATTGATCACCTTCAGCAGGTGGGAGAAGAGCTGCTCGACCATGGGCACCAGTGTCCGGTCACCTAAAGCTGGCCACACCTCCTCTTGTCTGGTGGCTGTTGGGTTGGCTTCTTCTTCAGAGGTCCATGAACTTCTCAGAGACTTGGGGGCACTGGCTGTGACACAGGCACACACATTACTCCCCCTTTTCCAGTGGAGGGGAAGGAAGCTGCTTGTTGAAAACACAAGTTCCTCACCTATCTGTACTGACAGACCGCTGGATCTCTGTACCTGATGCTCAACAGATGCCTCCAACTGTGTTCCAACTTCTACAAAAACCCAGGCTCAGTTGCAGACTAAAGCTCAGTAACTGCCTCTTTCAATCTTTGAATCACTGCCCTCTAATCCCAAATTACTTAAACAGAAGCTGAACCAAGATGGTAATTCTGGTCAGAATGTCAAAGTTAATCTACTAACTGATCTTCCTCATCTTCTCCTCCAGCCTGTACTGAATTAAGTTGAGTGATCCTTTTAGAACACAAATCTAACTACTGGTTGTTGTTTCCATGAATTCTGCGGGTGGTGAACAGAACCAGCCCAGATTCCTTACAGGGGACTGGTGTCCCTTCACCATAGCTTCAATGGACTTGGCCATCCTGGCTGGTGCATCCTCCATTCTTATCCCTGCACTCTGTGACTTCCACTCCCCTGCAGCCACACTTTTCCATCTCCACACCCTCACATGTGCAATGCCTCACCTGATGTGTCTAATCTATACTTACCCTGTGCTGCTACTGTGCTAGTTTGTATGACTCTTCTGTCAGTCGGCAATCAACTGGAAAATGAAGCCCATACATATGCTCTAATGCCCCAAAGGTGTCAGATAATTCCTGGTACATGATAGCCAGGACCATACTGAGCTCAAAGGAGCTTGGCTTCACTAAGGGGCTAGACTGGGAAAATGCTGCTCTCCAGCAACACACAGCCCGGAACAGCTGCCACTGCACATATTCACATATGCCAGCAACATCTGAGATATCTGGAGTGAAGGAACCAGCTATCTGGAAAATGACTAACAATTCTTTTCCCTTGTATGCGCCCCCTCCCTTCTCCCCAAGAAGGTAATCAGAGATAAAAGTCCTGGAGACTCTACTTCAACTTGGTACCTGCAAGCAAGTTTCCAGCCAAAACCAAGGCGTCTTGATGGGCTGAGAGATCCAATGGGAACCACGCTGACGAGAGCAAGGTGAGAATCATGGTGGCCATCCCCACGGTACAGCTTTTCCTAGAGTCGTCGGGGGCACTGAGTGGGGGCGCTCTGGAAGGAGGCATTTACAAGGTAAAATGACAAGGAGTTTCAAGCAAATAGTCTCAGGAGAAAGCATGTCAGACGCATTCCACACCAGCCCAGAAGTTCATTTTACTATTGCTAAACAACTAACACCCTTTCTGTGAAGTACCTAAAAGCTATTTGAGAAATCAAACCAAGTAATAGATCTGATTAAGAGAAGTAGCACTATGTGGTTATTCTGATGACTTTCTAACTTCCTTTGTGTTTTGATTTTGTTTTTACTTTGACCTAAGTCAAAGTCTAGTGCTAGACCTCTAACTAAAACCTACAGTTGTGCAGTCCCTATTTGTGAGAAAAGGAAAGCAATGTTGTAGATTAAGTATACAATCTAGCCAGGCACTGGTGGCTCATGTCTGTAATCTTAGCTACTCAGGAGGCTGAGATCTGAAGATCATGGTTCAAAGCCAGCCTGGGCAGAAAAGTCCCCATGAGACTCTTATCTCCAAATAACAACTCAAAAATCAGAAATGGAGCTGTGGTAGAGCGCTACCCTTGAGCACAGAGGCTCAAGGACAATGCCCCGGCCCTGAATTCAAACTCCATAATGGAAAAAATTTTTTAAAAATAAAAAAGAATATAATCCATACACTGAGACACAGACATCTGCATATCTACTGTCAAGCATGACAGAAGTCATCAAAATCCCATAACCAGCACACAGATGGAGGCTTACTTCTTAATGCTGCACAAGAGACAAAACACTTTCCCAGATGCCAGCAGGCTATTTACTAGAGGAAAATTATTATTTAATGATAACTCCTAACATAACATGCAGGAGTTCCTAAAGTACAGCCTTATACTCATCCCAGTAATTGTGCTTGTCCATGTAGTATCAGACAACTACAGGCTGGGGAAAATACATACCCACAATGCCAACCTAAACTCCAGACACAAACTGGAAAAGCTGCAGAAAGAAGACACAAAGCTTCACAGCATCCAAACTACCAAAGAGAGAGAGAAAAAAAAAAATCACCCAAACACCACAACATATTGACCAAATTAAACCTCATTTTACCTTTTATAAGTAGTACAACAGAAAGAAAACTGAGAGCTCTGCATGTCCACAAGACATTCACCCAACCAAAGGACACATTGATAATTTAAGATACAGCTTGACAACTGCTATACATGCTAATAAAAGGGTGATGGCACCCAGGGAATAGGGGCCAGCAGTTATTTTTCATACTTGAGATCCAACTGTAAACAACCCTAGCATGGTTTTGTAGTTTACCTTTTTTCTTTCAACATTAAGAATTAATATTATAGCTCCCCATATCATTAAAAATTCTCCAAAGGATCATATTAATAAATGTACAATGTGTTAATATATAAAATTTAATCACTCTTAGCTTTTAGACATCAGAGTCCAACTTGAAATCATGATATGATTACATTATATAATAATCTTTGTATTTCTGATTTACCCTTACCCTTTAGTATAATTACCAGATCTCTGAGTTAATTGTACTAGAGATGCTGCATTTCTCATTCAGATTATATTATCTTTTAAGTCTTCTAAAAGTGACTGAGTTAGTTTCTAATGAGTCTGTACTAGTTTCGATTCTGTTGATAAACACAGTTCTCTTTAGCAAGCCTCAGAAGAGTGCCCACACACCATCTCCTGTGACCATGCATGTGGATTTTCACAGAACTACTTAAAATCAACCTCCTTAAGCCCAACCAAGAAGACTTACTGTGAGTGCCCTAGTGGTTGATGTGATCAGCTCATGAGAAACTGCAGCAATAACTCTTGACAGGTTATTTTCCATGGTGACATCTGTTATGCTTGGTAGTAAGCTATAACCTCTATATATTCTAGTAAGAAAAATACAAGACTTAAAATGTACTCTTAAAGCATACAACATTGTCTTAAGATCAAATTACACTTAAAAGATTGTAAGCCAAGCGATGGTGGCTCACACCTGTAATCCTACTCAGGAAGCTGAGATCTGAGGATCGTGGTTCAAAGCCAGTCAGGCAGAAAAGTCCGTGGGAGACTCTTATCTCCAATTAATCACTCAAAAACTGGAAGTAGTGCTGTGGCTCAAATGGTAGAATGCTAGCCTTAAGCACAAAGAGGCTCAGGGACAGCGCCCAGGCCCTGAGTTCAAGCCCCACAACTGACCAAAAAAAAAAGTTTAACATTGAAGGCTAGAAACAGGAAATAGGGTTGAGGATATAGTTCAGTGGTAGTGTTTGTCTAGCACAAAGCCCTAAGACCCCTAGCACTGCAAAGAGAAGGAAAGGGTGGAGATGGCGGGGGGGGGGGGACATAAGAAACAGAGGAAGTGAGGAAAAGAAAACCATGTGTGGAAATAAATCTGACGCCCCTCTTTTTCCACTAGGTGCCCTCCTCCCCCAACCTGCACGACAGCTCTGGGGCCACATCCCCGGCCCGCTGCTTCTTGTGCAGACCCCTGCATGTTCTGAGCATCCAGATCACTACTACTGAAGTCCCAAGGCACTTCTTCCATATTCCATCTGTGCCACCCTGTCTACCTCTACCTTTGCAGATTCTAATTCTCCAGGGGTTTAAATCAGGCCCATATGGAGTTCACATTTGATTCACTTTTGTGTTCCTCAGTGTTCTGTCCAGATAAACTCAGCAACAAAACTAAGGAGAATCTGACATATTTTCCTAAGTGAGAAGCATGGCAAAACCTACTGGTTAAGTATGACTACTATACAGACACTAAGTACAGGTGACTGTCAAGGGGCCATATGTCAAAAGAACCATGGCAAAAAGCGCTAGCTGCGTGGCTGAAGCAGCAGAGCACCCGCCCAGAAGCACTGCTGCACATCACTGAGCTAGGTGCCCCCACATAGTTAGACACTTCAGTCATCTGCCCACCTAAACATTACCAGGCATGCTCTCGACAGAGCCACTCACTTTAGAAGGAACACTAAAACAGTGTGAATTTTCAATGGACAAGTGTTCAGATTGACAGTCCCACACAAAAATGAAGTTGTCATTACAACAAGTGATCACGTCACTCCTCAGACAGGGCTTAATTAACCAGAGTGGTGGTATGACAACAAACCACAGTGGTGGTTTGACAACACCTGAAGAAGATAAATAGCCTGTCAAAGAAAGATGAGCTACAATATCCAGAATTAAAGCCTTCTGTTTTCAGAAAGGAGAAAGCAGGCATCAGAAGAAGCCTATTTTGCCAACGAAGTTGGGGCACATGGGCAGTATACCTGGTAATGGTGCTGACGGAGAAGTGCGACGGAGGCTGCGTCTCGTGCATGAGCAGCTTCAGGTAAACACTACTTTGATCTCTTGCCACAGCCACTACGGGATCTGCCTGTCCTTGGTCACATTTATAAAACAGCTTTGGAACCAACCTACCAGGAGAGCAAGGCTGATTTACTCAGAAAGCACAGTGAACACGCCCATGCTTTACCCTCTCCCTCCAGGCAGCTGGCTACCCTAAATCCTTTCCCATTGCCAGTAGCAATTACCTCCAGGCAGCAAAACCGAAGGCGATTGATTTTTATTCCTTTCCTAGTGCCACTCTGCATATTCCAAAATTTTGACAATGAAAAATCACTTTTACAATAAAAGGTTAGTAGTTTGTTTTTCTAAGTATCATTTTAGATTCTTATGGTAAAGAGCAGAATGGCTGAAAAGACTCAGGGATACCCGAGAGCCTCTGAATTCCACCCACCCTTCCCACCATCACTCCATTTATACTTCAAATACAAACAGGCAGGAAGAGAGAAAATACTGGTAAATACCTTACTAATGAAGCTGCAGCAACATGTCGCACCCTGGGGTCTTCATCCCCAAGCAAATAGATGACCACATTATTGAGGACTCGTTCTTGCAGTTTTAAAAGCTTTAGAGAGGCAGATAATAAAGATAAACATAAACTCTGTATCTGACCACATTTCAGGTGAGATATTATAGAAAGCTAGTGAGGAAAAGCCTGAGATAACTAATCTTAAGTCTATACCAAAAAGTCGCAACTTTTGTAACAACTGCTAAATGTATCTAAAAACACAAGGACACCATTATGGAAGTTTCACACACTAAGAAGGTCCCACCAACACTCAGGTTCCTGGAAGGTAGGGCAAGGTCTCCAAGAATGAGCTGCTTACCCCTGTGTAATGATGAGCCCCTCTGTGCAAGCTTTCTGCTTTTGCCTCCAAAAAGCTCACCAGCCTAACAAAAGAACATATTCAACAATGAAGTCACTCAGTCACTCAGCAAGCCCTCCAAGCGAGCTGCGGCCCTGGAAGCTGGGACACAAAGGCTGTCCACCCAGCCTCCAGAGGCAGCCATTCCTTGAAATGGCAGATCTAAAAGTGTACTTAAGAAAGTCTGATTTACATTCCTTCCACAATTTCAGACTCACCAAGACAGTGCTTAATAAATGGCTTTTCATCAAAGTGCTCATCTACTCTTTCAAAGACTCCAAGACTGCCCCAAAAGTGAATTCAACCACCTCCTGAGGAAGGAGGCCCACTGCAAACTATCCCGCCCACCAAGGGACCAGGCACCTTGCTCCACCGCCCTCCCTGCAGGTACTGTAAGAACTGTTCTCAGGATGGAACAAGGCTCATCCTAGCTTTAGAATCAAATAAACAAAAACACCCCCCCACCCCGCCCCTCAAGACTGGGAATGCTGCTCAGTAGTAGTCATTGCCAAACAAGTATAAAGCCCTGGACTCCATCTCTATTACCTCAAGAAAACAAAACAAATGACCTGGATTACAAAGGTATGTGATTTCCCCTCTGAGATAAATTGTTAAAAGAAAGCACCTCAACTAAACCTACTCTGAGAAAATTAAAGTTGAAACACAACAGAAATTTTTTTAATTGCAAAAATGCAAATAAGCTAATTCCCTTAAATTCAGAAATACAATGATAGTACATTATAAACAAGCAGCATTGATAAAAGTCTACAATTCTTAAAAGTTTAAGACAAAGGTGAAAAAAATCCAGAGCTCTTTTACTCCTGCACCTAGAAAACGTAACTCAAGACTACCAGAAAACCCTAGTTCTCATTTAGAACGCCCAAGCACAGGGCAAAGTTCAAAAAAGGGCTACCGTGAAGGATGAAAATCACAGCCCTCTGCCTGAACTATTGAGGTTTCTAATGACAAAGCACTCGATAGCTACAAACAATCCCAGGAACTTTGACTCTCTATTTGAGCCTCTGAATTTAAACTGTATTCACTTACCTGAAGTCGATCTCAGCAAGAGTCTCCAACAGCTCTGTCCTCAGCAGCCAGTAGGGGCTATTCCTCAGAGACAGCACATCAATGAGCAGCTGTAATCCCAGGTCACTGTAGCTGCTGCTGCAGAGACTCATGACACAGTGCTGAAAAGCAGGACCCGCAGACCAAGGTGGAGGATTAGCCCCTGCACAGCCTCACTACAACAGTTGTAGGTGGTCTTACAATAGCACTCTTACAACTACACCTCTTTTGAAATTTTGTTGTTGTTTGTTGCTACTAGACCTTGAACTCAGGGCCTGGGTCACTGTCCCTGAGCTTTTTCACTCAATGCTGGCATTCTACCACTTAAGCCATAGCTCTACTTCTGTTTATTTTGTGATTAATTATAGATAAAAGTCTCAAACTTTCCTACCCTGGCTGGTTTTGAGCCACAATACTCAGAGCTCAGCTCCTGAGTAGCTAGGATTAGAGGTGTGTGAGCTACCGACACCAACTCTGTTTTATGATTTTTAAATAGCAAGAGGGGATGGGAATGTGGTCTAGCATGCATGAAGCACTGAGTCTGATTCCTCAGTTTCACATAAATAGAAAAAGCTAGAAGTGGTGCTCTGGCTCAAGTGGTAGAGTGCTAGCCTTAAGCAAAAGAAGCTCAGGGACAGTGCCCAGGCCCTGAGTTCAAGCCCCAGGACTAGCAAAATAAACATATTTTATTTCAGTAAAATCAAGAAAGGGATAACATTGTCCAAAAGTAGTAAAAGCATTCATTACCTGACTTACAAAATGGTAACCCTTCTGTGCAATACCTTAATAATAACAATAAAATTATATTTAAAAATAAACTAGGTTCAAACATCCAGGCACTGGTAGCTCACACCTGTAATCCTAGCTACTCAGGAAGCTGAAATCTGAGGATTAAAGCTTGAAGCCTGCCCACACTGGAAAGTCTATGAGACTCTTATATCCAGTCAACCACAAAAACACAGAAAGCCAGTCTGTGACGCAAGTAGTAGAGGCTAGTCTTGAGCAGACAAGCTAAGGGACAGCGCTCAGGCCCTGAGTTCAGGTCCCAGTATCAGCACCAAAAAAAAAAAAAAGCAGGTTGATTATATAATCCTTATGGCTTAATTTATTCCACATTTTATGTATTGGCTTACTACATTATTTTATTTTGTTATTCAATGGCTTTTGCATTTAATAATAGCATGGTGTAATTCCAAACATACTCTTTAGGAGAAGTATGTATTTAAAAAATATTCAATGAATTTTAAAAAGTTTACTTAAGCTTTAGTGTTCTTGGCAATGTCTTCTAAAACAGAACTGGCGTATACACGTCATTGTTTTGTTTTAGAAGATAAAAGAAATACTTCCTCTTAGACTCCAATTTTAACAGTAACAACAGTAAAAAGTCCACTGGTCCAAGAAAGTCCCAGGAGACATAGCACTCACCCTCACAGCTGTACAGGCCAGCTTACAGGTAACAGAAGACTCATCCTTCAAAGTTTTCCTCAGCAAAGGAATGCAGTCTGCCAAAGAAAATCTATTTCCTGACCAGGAGAATAAGCAATAAACATTTTCACAGAAATTAAACGATGGAACACTAACCAGAAAAGGCACCACTGAAGTGTCCATTACCTGTTAGAACTCTGATGGTGCCAAGCCAGTCCCCCACCTGGAAGCGGGAGCGGCTGAGGATGGAGCAGATGAGTGTCCCACAGAGAATGGCCGTGGCTCCTCTGACCTGTGGGTCTCCATGATCAATATAGTTCAAGATGTCTGAGACATACTGCTCCTCTGTGGAAACATAGCACGCACTCACTGTACCACCAACTTGCTACTTCAAATGCTTAATTCTCAGAAAGGAGAAAAACAGCATTCCAAATATGTAAGTGATTAGACCATAAAAACCCAAGTGGTTAAAAAAAAAGGGGGGGTGGTTAAGGGTTCTGGATTCATCTTATTACTGATCTCTCAAGAGATCATTTGATTTGAGGGATTGTAATTCCAGGTTGCCAGACAATAATCCAACCTCCAAATTTTATTTTAAAACAAAGATGGAAGAACCTCAACTCACTACTTGCTTACTTAGTTAACAAATAATTTAAAAGCACAAGTTTACTCTCTAATCCAAAAGAAGAGAAAGAGAAGGTAGAAGACAACTTCTACCCCATGATGACAGGAGCGAGACCCTGCTGTGGCTCCATGCACCGTAGCTCCACTAACCTCCGACCAGTTGAGAGTGAGGTACAGTATGGTGTACATAGTGTATGTGTGTAAGCCACTCTATGGCGCCCAGATTTCTAGTTTGTATTTTACAGTTTCACCTATAAACACAACATCTAAAGGGGACCAGGAAACTAAGAAGAGTGCCTTCTGTATGTCCATGGAGAGCCACAACACAGTCCAAATACACAAATCCACTCAAAATACTTTTTGTTCTAAATCTAAAACAAAATCTAAGACCACCTGAAATAAATCTCTTTTAAGTAATGATTTAAATCTGAAGAACCTACCAGGGTACTCCATGGGAGCAAGGGGTGCTTTATAAAGTCTGCTGAAAAAAGACTCCGGATGAAGGGCCACGGCTGCTCCAACACAGCTGAGGGCCAGAGCCTTAACACTGACCCTCACGTCTCTGTCTGGAACCAGGGCTGCAAAGAAATCACCCACATCAGCTTCAGCCTTTCAAATAAAAAAAACTAGATTCGACTCACTGCCTGCCTCTATCGTTTCCTCCCTTCTCCCATCAGATAGGGGTAAGCAAAGCTACACTAATCACGAAACAAGAACTGAACTCCAAATTGGCCTCCGAAACCTCCAACATCTCCTCAACTGTACTTCCTCCGCATCTGTACCTGACTTCCTGTGCTTACCATTCTTTTTCCCAGTTAACAAAAATGATGCCGATAAAAGGCGAACACAATGGACCAGAGGAGCAGAATCATCATCGGTAGAGTGTCCGATATCACCTTTGATTCGGCAAGGCTAGAACAGAGAGGGAAACACTTGTTTGTCTTTCAATCAAAGAGCCAATAAATACAGACCTGTAATCGCAGGTACTCAGAAGACAAAAGTAGGAGGATCACAGATCCTAGCCTTGACAAAACAACAAAACCCTACCTCAAAAAAGATGGTGGTGTGACTCAAGGGGTTGTTCACTCACCTAGCAAGTACAGTGCTTCGAGTTCAAACTAGCACCACCAAGACAAAGGTCAATACATCTATTCATTAGTTTATTCAACAGAATGAGCATTGTCAGTTGCTGGGAAGCTGAGCAGAATCTGACGAATCAGAGCACTACAGCACAGGGCCACAGGGTCACAGGACTGGGGAAGGGGATGAGCTCAGCGCACAGGGAGAGCACACTAGAAAAGGAAGCACCAAGACAGGTACTTAGTAGAGGCTTCTCAGATTATGGTTTCCACAGGACAAGCTGAAAATACTCATAGTGAAGCAGAAACACAGTGAAGCCTGAGGTTAGAAACATAGGAGAGAGGAAGTAAAAAAATGCAGTTGTGAGGGCTGGGAATGTGGCTTAGTGGTAGAGTGCTTGCCTAGCATGCATGAAGACCTGGATTTGACTCCTCAGTACCAAATACACAGAAAAAGCCAGATGTGCCACTGTGACTCAAGTGGTAGAGTGCTAGCCTTGAGCAAAAGAAGTTTAGGAACAGCACCCAGCCCTGAGTTCAAGCCCCAGGACTTGTGACAGATGGAATTAAACTATAAGACACATTCCTTGTCCTCGAGGAATTTAAGAATAACTGGAAAGACAGTACAATTGCATGACAAAGACAAATGATATACAAGAGATATTTTAAATACTTCACCGTATCTAAGAGATCAGGCAAGGCACAGCTCAGTGCAGGCCAGACCTGTTGGGAGGGTTTTTAAAGGAGTCAGAAGTCAGCCATCTTTAACATCTGGGTAGTAGTTCCCAGAGAGGCGGAAGAGTGGGCAAGCCAGGCGAGTGGCAGGAGAGTACTTGGGAGGGAGACGGGCAGAGCCAGTGCTGAGCAGCAGTAAACAAGGGCTACAGAGGACAGGGGCTGCAACGGGTGTCAGAACGCTGAGTCAACACGGGCCGGGCCTGGGGCACTCACCTTGGTGTCTGTGTCGCCTGGTTCAGGCGCTTCATCTCTTGACACAAATTTATCAACACTGCTGTCAGAAAGCTGCCTGCTGTGACCCATGCTCTCCAATAACTGTACCTTCTGAAGTGCTTTAAAAAGAGAAAGTGAGATCGACAGGTTTCCAATTAAAGTACAGTGCACATTTCCCCAAAAAGAACGTAAAAATAAAGGATTTAGATCAAGTGCAACCATACATAAATTAGTCTAGTTACAACTCACAAATCAAAGAATGAAAAGGTTTCTTCTAGAAAGTGAAGATGAAATCAAGATGTCCTAAGATGTAAAGAACACAGACCATTTTGCAGCACCGCCAAATTGCCTTACCCAGGGAGGAGTTTCTGAAAGCACTCGAGTCTCCACCAGGAAGAACACATTCAGCTCCCTCGTCCTCCTGTGGCTGGCCGAGCTGCATGCTGGGGCACTGGTTGTCAGCACCATCTAACACCTACCACAGTGAGGGCAGCTGTGAATACTCAGAATTGTGATCATCAGGGACAAGGCAAACACTCAAGGCTTGTGATACGTACAAAAGACAAAGACCATTTTACTTATGGCTCTTGGTGCATATGTACAACTCTTAAGAGCTGACTGGCCACACATCACAACTATGTTATGAAAAGCTTTTATAGCTCTAAGAATCTTAAAGAAACTTAAGTCTAGAAAATGCTATAGAAGAAAAAGGCCACACAGACATTGTGATAGAAACCTATAATTTAGCACTCAGGAAGGAGAGGCAGGAAGAACATGAGTTCAAGGCCAGCCTGGTCTAATAGTGAGGCTCTCATTCAAAAGACAAAAATAAAAAATAATTTTTTCTTCGTGAACAACTTTTATTATAAATCAGAAATGAAGACAAGGATATTTTTTTAAAAACCTAACAATATAATAGATTGTCTCCACAAAACTTGGGACACAGTGTTTCATATGTTCAGCCAAAAGCCTTGATTATGATTCAATACTGCAAGATGTCTCACATGCAATTGTGTAATTTACCTAAAAAGATGAGTGATGACTCTCAACTAAGTATTATGAGAACAATTCTATCGTTATATCATTTAAGAAAATCATTCTCTACGTTCCTCATTTGAAAACAAAACTCAAGCCAGGTATTAGTGGTTCATGCTGATAATCCTAGCTACGAAAGAGGCTGAAATCTGAGTATTGTGCCAGCCCAGGCAGATAAATCTGAGAGACTTACATGTCTAACTAGCAAAAAGCTAGAACTGGAGTTGTGGAATTGCAGTTCAAGTGGTACAGTGTCAACCAGTCTTGAAAAGCCCATGAGTATCCACATGCACAGAGGGGAGCGAGAGGACATGGTGCACACCTAGGATCCCAGCAATTATGGGAAAACACAGGATTCTCTCACCCAGGTAGGAGGGAGATGCTACGCTAAAAACGATGGACAAAAAACAAGACTGGAGGAATGGCTCAAGGGATAAAGCTCCAGTCTAGGAAGAGGCCATGAATTCAAAACCTAGTACTACCAAAAAAAAGATAACATGTACTCAGGACATATAATCAACAAACCCTATTTTTTACTGCCATGTTCTACACTAAAAACAATAAGCTGTTTCCTTCAGTGAACAGACAAGATCAAGCTCTTTGTTAATAATTTGAGATGGCTGCAGGGTGCTGGTGGCTCACACCTATAATCCTAGCTAGACTGAGATCTGAGCATCACAGTTCAAAACCAGCCAGGCAGGAAAGTTGGCAAGACCCTTATCTCCAATTAACCACCAGCAAAAAAAGGTAGAAATGGAGCGAGGGCTCAACATTAAAAAAGCTCAGGGACCGGGCTGGGAAGGTAGCTCAGTGGTAGAGTGCTTGCCTTGCCTGCATTAGGCCCTGGGTTCGATTTTTCAAAGTACTTATTTTTAGCAGCCTTTTTATATTGTTGCATTATTTACTAGGCAAAATACTGTTAGGAGAAGAAGCAGCCCTGGAAGACGACACCACATAAATAGAAAAAGCCAGGTGTGGCACTGTGGCTCAAGTGGTAGAGTGCTAGCCGTGAGCTGAAGAGCTGAGGGACAGCGCCCAGGCCCAGAGTTCAAGCCCCATGACTGACCAAAAAAAAAAAAGTTCAGAGACAGTACGCAGCACCGGAGTTCAAGGTCCAGGACCAGCGCGCGCGCACACACGCACACACGCACGCACGCACACACGCACACATGCGCACATGCACACACACACACACACAAACACAAACTTTTTAAATAATAATTGGAAAATTATTATCATCACATCGGTATTGGCAGACTGCATGAGAAAAATTAGCAGGAAGGCCCAGGCTAGGCCTTGAGGAATGAGCATGGGGAGATGGCAGGCTTGACTGCACAAGAACCCATTCATTTGCCAACTTACAATTTCAGAACTGTCGGAGGGTGTCACGGCCGAGTCAGGCCCTTCAGTAGTGGTCTGGGAGCTGTCACTGATAGGTGAGGAGGCCTGGGTCCCATCATTTAGGTCCAGAGCAGGGTCAGATGGAACTGCACTGATCTGGCTGGAGCTGTGGCTCAAGATGTCCTCCTCATCTCCATCGGTGGCAGCACTAGTCAAGTCACAGCCAGAGAGGTCCACAGAGTCTGCCTGCAGCGTGTGCTGTGAACGAGGCTGCTCCGTAATGATGTCATGACCCACAGACCCAGGAGTGGAGACCCCCGGAGAGGCAGCCAGCTCTCCACCGATCTCACCCTTCACTGAGGCTGAACATAGAGAAACATGCATTTGTCAAATCCGCTAAGGAACTAAAGCTGTGCAAAATAAAAATAAAAATTGCATTTTTAAACAACTACAAATTTAAAATAAAAACTAAAACGTGCCTTTTTAAAATGCTGTACAAATCTCAAAGATCAAAGCTCAAGTAACTATTCCAGCCTTGTGAGACCAATACACAGGATGAGGACAACCTGAAAGCCACCTCAGCAGGACTCAGAGCAAGAGGTGACAGACACAGGAAAGTCGGGGGGGGGGGTACGGTTGTGTGGAGGGGAACATGCCTTCCTCCCTGCAAGGATTTTCTAGATCAGTTTTCAAATTCCCGTTTAAGACAAAAAAAAAACCTGACATAAAAAGAAAATCACTTCAAAGAAACAAAATCAAGCTGGAGGCAGTAGTTACTCCAGTGTGCAACTTGAATTTTATATACCATCAACATACAGGTGTAAATTTTTGTTAACTTTTTGATTTGTGTAATCAGGAAAAATATTTATATTTCAATCAATCAATAAATAATTGCCACTGGCATTTTTCAGATTTTTCTTCCCAAAAACTACTTGGTTTTCATTCATCTAAAAATATTCTTTTGGGTAAGATTACACAGTAAAACCACCACATTACATCCATCCGCTACTCAAAAAGGTTTAGGCTCAGGGAAGATAAACCAACTTTACAATATCTTAGAACAAGAACACACAGTCATATATAATTCAAAATGAACATTCTAGGAACAGCTGGATCATCTACAATTTGAGCTGGTCCTCCAGCCCCTCTGCCAGGAGGAGGACAGAAATGGTGGGCAACAGCCAGCCACTCCTTAACAAACTACCTGCAAAGGCTGCGCTGCTGACGTCAGATCTTGATTCTGAGTCGTCTTCCAGGGCTTCTTCTTCTCCTAACAGTATTTTACCTAGTAAATAATGCAACAATATAAAAAGGCTGCTAAAAATAAGAACTTTAAAAAATGAATAAATGCATGTTAAGCTGAAAATTCTAAGCATTTTACTTTCATAGTTTATCATCATATATATTTTATATCTCCAACATGATAAAACATAAAGAGTGAAAAAATACAATGTTCAGAGTACTATAAAAATCAATAAACCCCTATGGAAAAAAGATAAAAGCAATGGTTCTCATACTGAAACACAAAATACTTTAACAACTGATCTCATTGAGTATTGTTTCTATTATGTAATTTATATTATTACATTTAACCTTAAGTAGTAAACTTTGGCTGAAGATTTCCAACCCTTAGCCTTAGAATATCTATGTCCTAACTCCAATAGCACATTAGAACTTATATATAAAATTTTATACATAAGTAAGTTGTGTTTCTTTTATTATCTTTTCATTTTGTTTTCATCTTGTCAAGAATCAGACCTCAATCACTATATAATCTGAGGGGATTAAATATTTCAATTGAAAAGTTCCAAAACTCCTTTGTGCATGTGTGTGTGTGTGTGTGTATGTGTGTGTGTGTAAGTATTTGTTACAGCTGAACTCAGTAACCTGCCTCATGCTTTCTATGTAGGTACTGTACCACTTGAGCCATATCCCCAACACTAGCCTGGACCTGGATCCTCCTACTTATACTTCCTGAAGTAGCTGGGATCACAGGCATATATCTCCATGCCCAGCTGATGAAATGAGATCTCAAGTTTTGCCAAGGATGGCCTCACCCATGAGGCTCATGGAGCGAGCAGCTGGGATGAGGGGCAGCACTTAGTTTCAACTGTCAAGCTTGACTGGATTGAGAATGCTTGGGAAATTAGTAAAGGATACTGCTGGGTATCTGTGAGGATACTTTCTGAAAGGATCAACTAGGAGTGAACTCCCTTTACAAATGTACACAGCACCAACAGGCTACAAGTCTGGACAAAAGAAAACAAGGGAGGAGGAAGAGGCTGGCTGACATAGCCTTGCGTGTGCTCTCTTGCTCTCTGGCTCTGGCTCACAGTGATGTGGGCTGCTGCGCTCCCATCATGGCTGTTCATGTAGTTCCTGTCAAGACAGACTGAAACCTCTCAAACAGTAAACTCAAATAAGTCCTTCCTGCCTTACATTAGGTCAGATATTTTGTCACAGCTACAGAAAACTGATTAACACAGATACTAACAAAGATACCATTTGGTTACTGGAAATGTCCAATTTGTAATTTCACTGCTCTTTAAGAGTAAATTAGAATTGTGATACCACATTTACATGATGTGATATTAAAGGCACCTTAAAAAAAAAGCAAAAAAAAAAAACCCAAATGCTAGATAAAATAAAACACACAGTAACTCGGTACAAATACCAAATAACGCAGCTTCTACTACAGGGCATGATTTACTTCGAAAAACCAAATAAAATTCCCCAACAGTAAACAGTAAACAATAGTCCCTAGTCTCTAAATTGGTAGCTTGCAAGTACGCTGTTCCGAGTTCTCCCCAGAGAAAGCTCCTCCAAAATCCAAGCACAGGAGGCAAGTGCACAGGACTGCAGCCTACCCTACCATCCTCAGCCCAACCGCAGTATATGCTCAACTCTTACCTATTGTCTGTACTAGCAGACTTCACTTGAAAAAAATAATTTTGTAGCTATAAGAAAAAAAATTCTATTCATAAACTGCTTTGTTAAATGGTAACTCCTTTGTAATACCATTTAAGGTAATAATCAAAAGAAAATAAATTATTTAAAAAGTTTTGAGTTGGGGGCCAGATGAGCGAGGCTCTGCTGGCTCACACCTGTCATCCTACTCAGGAGGCTGAGATCTGAGGATCGCAGTTCAAAGGCAGTTTGGGCAGGAAAGCCCAGGAAACTCTTATCTCCAATAAACTACCAGAAAACCGGAAGTGGTGCTGTGGCTCAAGTGGTGGAGTGCTAGCCATGAGCTGACGAACTGAGGGACAGCGCCCAGGCCCAGAGTACAAGCCCCACAACCGACCAAAAAGAAAAAAAAGTTTGAAAATGAACACAAAGACACAATATCTATGTGCATTTGATCACATAAATAATATTTATCAAAATCAATTCCACAAAACGAAAATAGAGGTTTCTTTGCTGCTGTTTTTGCTTTTTTATCTTGTTTGTTCATTTATCTCTCTTTGGGGGGAGGAGGACGCAGAAATGGAGAGATGAAGGTTGAAAAACCACAGCAGTGGTACTCACTAGACACTATGCTAAAAATGAGCGATGGAAGGGGTGACATTGTCCAAAAAGAAATGTTCTCATTACCTGACTTATGAAACCATAACCCTCTGTACATCACCTTTATTTATTTATTTAATTGTCGGTCATGGAGCCTGAACTCTGGGTCTAGGCCCTGTCCCTGAGCTCTTCAGCTCAAGGCGAGCACTCTACCACTTGAGCCACTTGAGCCACAGCGCCACTTCCAGCTTCTTCTGTGTATGTGGTGCTGAGGAATCGAAACCAGGGCCTCATGCATGCAAGACAAGCAAGCACTCCACCACTGAGCCACCTTCCCAGCCCCTGTACACCACCTTTATAATAACAATAAAAAATGGGGGGAAAAAACCCTACTTGAACCTCCTATAGCTTAAAACAAAAACAATGTTTGAAAATAGCTCTGAATTTTTTTTTAAAAATCTGAAAAAGAAAAAGTAAAGAGATTGAGGAAAAACAATGTCCTAGCTAGAAGAGGACAGAATGACTCATTTCAACAGCATCTTCTTATACATCCTCTGTGGAAATCATGACGAAGACACAGTAAGCGACCGGAGTACTTCATCACCAGTCCTTCACCAACGAGAGATTAACTTTCCCTGGACTTCTCCAGGCCCTTAAACAATGTTTCTCTAAAATATCAAACTTGGTAAGTATTCTACACAATGATGGCCTAAATGCCTCACTTTGATTTTTAAGAGATGGTCTGCACTACGTTGTCCAGGCTGGTCTTGCAATCCTAGATTTAACAATCCTCATACCAGGCTAGGAAGGTGGCTCAGTGGTAGAGAAAAAAGCCAGAAGTGGCGCTATGGCTCAAGTAGTAGAGCGCTAGCCTAGAGCTGAGGGACAGCACCCAGGCCCAGAGTTCAGGCCCCATGACCAGGACCCCCCCCAAAAAAAATCCTCATACCTCAGAAAATCCCAACCATACTACAAGTATGCACTAGCAAGACAAGATTCCTAGTGTAAGAGACTGAGTACTGTAAGTGTTTACTGGAGAATGCAATTCCAGTTAACGCGTCATGCAAAAGCCAGTTGTGGCGATTCGGGCCTGAAACCTCAGGTGTGGAGACAGCACGGAGGTTGTGAGTTGAAGACTGGCCTGCGGAGCCAGGAGACTCAAAGTGGAGCTGTGGCTCAAGTGGTAGAGCACTAGCCTTGAATAAAAAAGTTAAGGGACAGCACTCAGGCCCTAAGTTCAAGCCCAGGATTGGCACCAAAAAAAAAAAAAATCTCATTCAACCTGGGTACTGGTGGCTCATGCCACTAGTGCCAGGACAATTAAAAAAAAGGAAATAATCAGTGTTGCAAATAATTGTGTATAAGAAAGTTATCAAATTAAGTCAAGAAGACTTTGACTTAATAAAAATGAAAGTAATTATATCACAAAACTTTGATATACATAAAGCTAAGTGTGGCTTAAATTGAAATAATTAACCAAACAAGCTATTTAGCAATAGTCCTAACACTAGACAAAATTAATTAGGAAGAGAAGTTATCTTTATCAATTATAATGATCCCCACAGTAGGAGTGGGCCTGCTGCATGTATTAAGGTTGTACTGAAACAAGACCACACTTATCAGCTCACATACTGTCTATACTACTTTCCTGCCACAGAGTGGAATTAAAGAGTTTCAAGGGACTTTATGGCTCATATAGCTAAATAGTTACTCTCTGATAACTAATCATTTTTTAAGCTCATTCCTGACCTTCATCATTAGAAACTGATGAGGAGCCAGGCACTGGTGACTCAGACTTATAATCCTAGCTACTACGCAGGAAAGTCCAGTCCAAGAGCCTCCTATCTTCTTCTTCTTCTTTTTTTTTTTTTTTGTCGGTCGTGGGGCTTGAATTCTGGCCTGGGCGCTGTCCCTCAGCTCTTCAGCTCAAGGCGAGCGCTCTACCACTTGAGCTACAGCGCCACTTCCGGTTTTCTGGTGTTTTTTTGGGGTAGGAGTCTCACAGTCTCTCCTGCCCATCCTGCCCGGGCTGGCTTTGAACAGCGATCCTCAGATCTCAGCTTCCTGAGTAGCTAGGATTATAGCCGTGAGCCACCAGTGCCCAGCGAGCCTCCTATCTTCTATAAACTCCCCCAAGAAGCCAGAAGCAGGGCTGTGTCTTAAGTAGTAGAGCATTTTCCTTAAGCAAAACAACATTGAAGAATAGTGCAAGCCCCTAGGACTGGCACAAAAATAAATAAATGAATAAAAAGAAAACCTCAGGGCCTAGACATAGTCCCTGAGCTTTTTTTGCTCAAGGCTAGCACTCTACTGCTATGAACCACAGCTCACAGACTTTCCCAATAGGTTGGCTTCAAACCATGATTTTCAGATAGCAGCTTCTTGAGTAACAGGATTACAAGTGTGAGCCACCAGCACCTGGCTCAGAATTAACTTAAAGGCTACAGAAACCTTCAGGCCTGCTAATCAGATTCTGGCAATATTTCTACATACAATCATCCTACTGCAAACAACTGGAGACATTTTATTCTACATAGTAAGAAATACAGAAGAAAAATACAGTTTGATTCAACACAAGACTCAGACTTGTGAAATAATCACCTTTTTGCTTCCTTGAAAGGATAGGGCTGCATGAAGAACCCCCTCCGGCTGTAAATCACACAGAGTGACAGGAGAGAGTAAAGTAACAAGCTGTTAAAATCTAGAAGAAATTTAAAAATCTTCAAAAAACTTGATTTACCCTTAAAACTAGTAAGAATCTGAGTGAATATATTTCTATAGGAAGTGCAGAAATTCCACAGTTCGACATTTTAAACTCAGGATGAAAATTACACCAAAATTCAAATACACAGTTCTAACAATATGACTAAAATTTCAAAAGAGGTCAGACTGCACATAAAAAGCCAAATTAAAAGTATCAAAGAACTCAGCTAATCGTCACATATAGAAGAACCAAATATAAATTAGCTTTCACTAGAAGCAATCATTAAAGTTGAGTAATTGCTCTCGTTGGTTATAAGGTAAGCTTTCCACAGAGAAAGGCGACTTCAAAGGACAAGTGGCTATGATGGACTAACATTTTCCACTCAAGTACTCACTTTCTGCAGTCAAGTCAAAGGAAAAGTTAGGAAACCAGGCTTTAAATGCTTGAGTTCATTCTATCACCTAACTTTCTAAACCCTAGTTCTCCTTTTTGCAAAAAACGATTTTAAATTTGGGCAAGAAACCAGGTGCTGACTCTCAGCACAGCACAGCCCCACAACGCAGGAGGGTCCCAAGCATTAATTAGTGCTCAGTTGCTGATAAGCAGACCTTGGCTGAGAACGCACCTAGAAGTTCCACAATGCTCCCACTGCGGTCTCGGCCCTGGGCCTCCTCTTGAGCTGCAGCTAGCTGTCCAAGCCCACCTGGCATGGTCAGTGCCTGCAGCAGCTCCGGCGGTGGGGTGCGGAAGAGCTGCTGTAGGAGCTCCAGTGCTCCTGTCACCACATTGTGGTCTTGGTGTTGCGTGTGATGCAAAGTCAGTTCATACACCTAGACACAGAGGCACAGGTCTTCAGTCATGGTTTTTAAAACATGTCCCATATTTCACCTTGCTTTATTTTTACAGGTCTTGATTGGCAAAGCTTGTGCTTTAATTTCTCCCTTAAAAACTCCTCTGTCATTTCTACTGGTGTTTATTAACATCCACATTATATTCTAAATGCACATGATTTTTTCCCTTGATACACTAATTCCTTAGACATAAACGGAGCACATCTACTAAACATGCTAAAGTCAATCTGCTTTTTCCAAAACTGGGAGTAAGAAAGGAAATGCGCCCAGCTGGCACCAGGTAGACGGTCAATGCTGGAAACATGATTCTGAGAAATTTAAAGACACATCAAATTTTATTTTGATAAAATTAAAAATTGTAATACTGTTAATATTATATACAGATTTATTCTTTTTCCCTTTAAGAGTTGCCAGATAAAATGTAGACACAGTGAAATCGGAATTTCAGTTAACACAAATTTTGTGTAATTTGGAACAATACTCACTGCAAAATTACTATTCGAAATTCAAATTCCACTGATATCCTGAATTTTCATTTGCTAAGTTTGCCAACTATACCATTAGTATAAAAGTATACACGGTTTTAAAGTCAGTGTAAAAGAGTTTTAAATAAACAGTCAAAGAAAGCTGCCTTAAACCTTTGGTTTTAGCTCTTCTGATGCAGCCTCCGCAACCCTACTCACAGCTGACAAACTGCAGTCCAAGGTCACATACCGCCTGCAACTGAAATGTCACTGGTGCATGGCCTGTTCATGGGCTGTCTGTGACTCTTCTGCCCTATAATGGTAGAGATGGCACGACTTGCAAAGCTAAGGGCCTTTCTGAAGATGCTTTTGGACTCTGCTTTAGGTTATCAGCTTATGTTAGCACCAGCACTGCTTCTTCCTCTTTACCACATTCACATGTTTCCACATAACACTATTCAAAGTTGGTGTCCTCCATAGAGAAATTGAGTCTAAAAAAGTCAGTTAAGCCAGGTGCTGGTGGCTCATGTCTGTCATCCTAGCTACTCAAGAGGCTGAGATCTGAGGATCACGGTTCAAAGCCAGCCGGGCAGGAAAAATCCATGAAACTCTTATTTCCAATAAACCACCAGAAAATGGGAAGTGGTGCTGTGGCTCAAGTGGTAGGGTGCTTGCCTTGAGCTGAAGAGCTGAGGGACAATGCCCAGGTCCAGAGTTCAAGCCCCAAGACCGACCAAAAAAAAAAAAGCAATACGTATTATCAGGTTATATAAAATCACTCACTAGAAAGCCTGTTAACGTGATAATCAAAAGGAAAAGTTTCATTCATTACTAAGTACAGCTTAAAAAGAAAAGGATTTAACGGTAATTCTTTGATTATAAATTATCTTAAAATTATTATACATTTTATTTTGCTTAAATTGTAAGATTTTTGTGAATTTCACTGGTTTTCTTCGAGTTCTTTATTGTGTTCCACCTTCTCTAATATCAATGTAGGCACAGGCCTCACTTTATCCAGCTTCTGAGTCATAATATTTATTGTTGGGAATTCTTGGAGTTCCTAATCTGAATTACATGTTATACAACAACCAGCTTAAGAATGGCTTTTAGCACATTTCAATCTAGGATTCTTTATTTTATTGTACTTATTTCTGGTACATTTCCTCAAACGTTTTTCTTCAGAAAGCATGAAAGAAATATTCAGAAGCTGGACACCAGTGGCTCACACCTGTAATCCTAGCTACTCAGGAGGCTATCATCTGAGGATCCACAGTTCAAAGCCAGTCTGGGCAGGAAAATCTGCAAGACTTTTATCTCCATTAATCACCATAAAAAAAGCTGCAAGTGAAGCTATGGCAAGTGGTAGAATGTTAGCCTTGAGCAAATAAAAGCTTAGGGACAGCTCCAGGCCCTAAGTTCAAGCCCCAGGATTGGCACCAAAATAAGAAAGAAAGAGAGAGAGAGGGAGAGAGAGAGGGAGGGAGGGAGGGAGGGGATGGAGGGAGAAAGGAAGGAAGGAAGGAAGGAAGGAAGAAGGAAGGAAGGAAGGAAGGAAAGAAAGAGAAAGAAGGAAAAAAAGAAGGAAGGAAGGAAGGAAGGAAGGAAGGAAGGAAGAAAGAAAGAAAGAAAGAAAAAAAGAGAACAACATTCAGAGTTTCTATCAGGCTCCCACTGTCTGTATTTGCCCATCCCTGTCTAGTACTGCACCCTGTCCAGACCAGCTTACTATGTCATGGATTCAAGAAGCAGAGATTGTACCTAAAATGCTTGCTATTGCATCCTTAGCACCAGTCTGATGGAGAGCACACAGTGAACACTCAGTATTAACTGAGAATGGATGAGCACTCTTCATGACCCTTGGTTTTATAGATGGATACCTGGTGCAAGCTGAGGGGCATCATTCATGACCATGTGGACCTGAGGAAGTTGCAGGTCCGAAGCCGATCCCTGGAAGTCTAGTCCTGGTTCCCACAGCTATCAGTTCTGTGCCTCCTGTCCAAGTTAGTGGAGTTACCACTTGTTCATCCTTGCAGCACAAGACTATAGGGTGTGGCTCCTACCTGAACAAGCTGCTCAGCAGAAGGAGAGACTTCCATTTCTTTCCGTGTCACCCCAAAGCTGCCTTTCAGGCTTGTGTCCTTGACCTGCTGCTGTAGTAAAGGCACCAGATACCTCAATGTGAGCAGCACGCCGAGGATCAGGAGTGTGGAGTGCTCTTCCTCCACAGGTACCAGCAGACCTACAAAGGCAGCCAATGTGATTTCTTAGCAGCTAATTTGCGGCTCAAAGAGCTGCAGCACTCTTTGATAAAAAGGGGAGACCCAGTAGGGCACCAGTGGCTCACACATGTAATCCTAGTTACTCAGGAGTCTGAGATCTGAGGATCACAGACAGTTCCAGCAACAGAGTCTGTGAAACTTGTATTTTCAATTAAGCACCAAAAAAGCCCTAAGTGGAGCTTGGCTCATGTGGCAGAGTGCTGGCCCTGAGCACTCAGGGATAGCGTCCAGGCCCTAGGTCAAAAGACACACACACACGCACACACACACACACACACGGAGGGAAAAGACACACACACACACGGAGGGAAAAGACACACACACACACACACACACGGAGGGAAAAGACACACACACACACACACACACGGAGGGAAAAGACACACACACACACACACAGAGGGAAAGACCCAGAACACACACACACACACACACACACACACACACACACACACACACACACACACACACACACACACACACGGAAAGACCCAGAGGAAAATCCTCCTCTAAGGACAGCAGTAAGGATAAAGATGGTATAGGCATGACTAAAGGCAGATTGTGTGCCCAGATCTAACAGTGGATCTGTAGGACAGCCCTATCTTTAAGCTTACTGAAGCCCTTACAGTGAACATAATTACATCTGAAAGTCCGGAAGTTTGTTTTGTTTTTTTTGTTGGTCGTGGGGCTTGAACTCTGGGCCTGGGTGCTGTCCCTCTGCTCTTCAGCTCAAGACAAGCGCTCTACCACTTGAGCCACAGCACCACTTCCAGGAAGTTATTTTATATCAAATGTCAACATGCTCACCCCTGGATCTGCTAATACTACAGGAGAAATGATCAGACCCTACAGAGAACCTACAGGGTGCTGAGGTAGTTTCAGGCCAGGAGGGCAGGCGGGGCTGTATTCCACCTGGATGTTCTTGGGCACCACAGCTCCTGCATGGCTGCGGTGATCACACGTGGGCTCATGCCAGCCTCTGCATAGCTCATTATGTAGTAGGCACCCAGTGATAAGTCACCTGATTCAGCAATAACTTGATTTTTTTTGTTGTTGTTGGTCGTGGGGTGTGAACTCTGGGCCTGGGCGCTGTCCCTGTGCTCTTCAGCTCAAGGCAAGCACTCTACCACTTGAGCCACAGTACCACTTCCGGTTTTCTAGTGGTTTGCTGGAGATAAGAGTCTCATGGAGTCTCCTGCCCGGGCTGGTTTTGAACCTCGATCCTCAGATCTCAGCCTCCTGAGTAGCTAGGATTATAGGTGTGAGCCACCGGTGCCCAGCTTGATTTTTTTTTTTTAATACTGGTATTAGGGCTTAAATTCAGGCCTCAGTGGCTTTTTCAATAAACACTAGAACTCCACCATTTGAGCCACACCTCCAGTTCTAACTTTTTGCTAAGAGTCTCACCAATATGTCTGCCAGGATGGATTTAAATCCTGATCCACAGATCTCAGCCTCCTAAGTAGCAGGTTTCAGGCTGGTGTGAGCCACTGGTGCCAGCTTATGGTCCGCTCTGAAAGGTTCTCAAGTCTATTTTGAGTACAGCCAGAGGCTAGGTTATCCACACGCCTCACCCTTACCTAGGAGCACATTCAGAAGCCAGCTGTAGAAGTACTGAGTCCTCCTGGAGTGCTGGCAGATACTCACTGCAGAGCCAGCTGCGGTGCGACGGACAGTGGGGGAATTTGATTTCAGATTTGCTATGAAAGCCTTTAACAGGACCTGTGAAGGCAAAAAACCCCAACAAACGAAAGATGCTACAATGAGGGTCATCGTGTGTCCCCTACAACTAGGCTTGAATGTAGAGCTTCAAGTTTTTCCAGAGTATATATTATAAACAAGTAAGACTTTTTTTCAGAAATGAATGAACCAAAGTCAGGAGCAGCTGACAAGCACATGGTCTATTTGCTTTTCTGCACACTGCATTAGACTTGCTCGGCATGTATGTCCTGTCTATGATAGCTGAGGCCTCCGTATCCAGGGAAGGTACACTCACAGAATTCGGGGACACCTACACAAAACATCAGACCCAGCCAGGTGCTGGTGGATCACACCTATAATCCTAACTCCTCAGGAAACTAGGATTCAAAGCCAGCCCAGGCAGGAAATTCCATGAGACCCTTACCTCCAATTAACCAGCAAAAAACTTGAAATGGGGAACTGTGGCTCAAGTGGCAAAACACCAGCCTTGAGTGAAAAAGCCAAATAAGCACACAAGTTCCCAAGTTCACGCCCCAGTTACTGGCATGAGCGTGCGTGTGCACACGAGTGTGTGCACATGAGCACACACAATCCTATCCGAAAAGTAACTAAAGTCAAAAGCTGGAGATCTTATCTCAGTGTTAGAGCATTTATCTGGCAAGTACAAACTTCAAAGTGCAAAACCCAGTACCTCAAGAAATATGGTGGTAAATATCATACATCTAAGACACAGAATTAAGGCAAATAGGAAAGGAAAATCATCTTTGTTTATAATCCTTTTGCTGTTCCCAGATTTCATTGATAATACATTTGAATGAGCACAAGTGGATTGGAAGGGCAGGGAAATTTTTTTTTTTTTAGTAATGCTAAAGGCCCAAGAAAGTAGTATAGTAATATGGCTATTCTACTTTAAAAAAGGTGGGGGGTGAAAGAGGGAGAGGGAACGAATGAAGGAAAGCAGGGAGGGAGGGAGGAAGTAAAAGAGGTAGAGAAGAAGAAAGGAAGACAAAAGCCAGATGCCAGTGGCTCACACCTGTAATTGTAGCTTCTCAGGAGTCTGAGATCTAAGGGTCACAGTTTGAAACAAGCCTGGACAGGAAAGTTCATGAGATTCTTATCTCCAGTGAACTTCTAAAAGGTCAAAGGTGGAACCGTGGCCAAAGTGGTAGAGCACTAGCCTTGAGTAAAAAATGCTCAGGGAGGGGAGGATAGGGGAGGGAGACAGAGAAACTTGGCACAATTTTACTAGAATGTGATACAAATCATAGAGAAAAACAGAAAACTTAAATTACCCAGTGAAGTGTTATCCCCTGCCTGGTCTCTGCACTGACACCAGTTCTCACAGAAGCACCTGCTCCCTCCCAAAAGGCCCCATGAGCAGGTGGCTCATTGGGCGTCACAGTGCTCATGTTCTGCAACTGCAGGAGCCTCCACGGCCAGGAGGGAGCAAAAGAAATAGCAGCATTAGCAGCTCCCACCGACTGAGCAAGATGACTGGGTTACTACATTAAATTCTTAACATGCATGACCTCCTTTGCTTACTCCAAAGCCCATGAAATTGGCTTTTAACATCACGTTAATATTAAAAGAGAACCTTGAGATACAGAGAAAAAAAAATCATGAACCAGGCTGGCCAATTTAGTCAGGTTACCAGCTAGCAAGAGTGCAGAATTCCAATGCAATTCCATCGGACTCCAAAAAGTGTTCTTGCCACTGCACTCCCAGCCTCCCAGGAGAACTGTGCTGCTCAGGACTGAATGCAAAAAAGGAGAGCAAGGGTCCTGCATGCACTCCACAGGCTGTTGGACAACCACAGTTCCTAGACACCACAAGCAATAAATCAGAACAAGTTTGGAGGTTGTCTGCTGCCAAGCAGGTGCTGGCGCTTGTGGGCATACCACCCAAGAGCTGCTGCCACTCTGAGGGCTTGGTGCTGACTCTCCTCAACCAAGCTGAGCCGGAACTCAACTTCTCTGGAAAAATGTGCTTTGAATTTACATTTATAAACCATCTCTTTCTTCACTTCACCCCATAATAAAAAGCAGAAGTGGAAGAAAACTCCTGGGGTGCCTGAAAACTACACAAGACAGTGGTGTGGCAAATCAGGAAGCCAACTTGCCTTGCCGTCATTACTGTATGACTCAAATGACTGCCCAGCCAGTGGCCCCAGGAGTACAATCTGCACATTTTCAACCTGAGGTGGCAATCATACCTTAATTTCATTGTCATTTGCAAAATTGCCAAAAGAAGCCATAATTTTGGGAATAGCTGCAGCCAAGGTCTCCTGGACCGATTCCTCGGGTCTCTTGCTTGTTCGAGTTAAGCATGGCAGGAGATTCACCAGGTAAGGCCTAAATGTGCAAGAGGAACATTGGTCATTCTTCAGGTCTCCTATAATGAAAAATACAAACACTTGGCTTTCTATTAGGAAAAACACGGTTTTATAAACAAGTAATCCTTAATAGAAACAAAACAGTACTCAGATAAAAGGAACAGCAAGCTTCAGTGCAGATTGGGGTTACCCACCCCTCATCTCTCCCATAATCAGAGGACAGTAAGAACCTGGGTTTAGTCAGGTGCTGATAACTCACATCTTTAATCCTAGCTGTTCAGGAGGCTGAGATCTGAGCACTAAGGTTTGAAGTCAGCCCAAGCAGACAAATCTTATCTCCAATTAACTAGTATAGTGAAAAGCCGAAAGTGGAGCGATGGCTCAAATGGTAGGGCACCAGCTTTGAGCAAGAAAGTGAGAGGACCTGAGTTCAAGCCCCAGTGCTGGTGCCTGTGCCATGCATGCACACACACGCACGAACACACACACAGAATCCAGACTTAGTTACAGTAAATTGTAAGTTATTAAAGTTATTAAAATGCCCCTATTTTGATTCAATAATATCAGAAAATACTACTTTAAAAACATAATTTTTAAATACATGAATAAAGCTTTCTTAAAAAAGAAACAATACAAAATAGAAAAAAAAATGTTCAAACCTAACTAAATGAGGCCTTTTAGAGACCTTGGAAAGAAAAAAAGGAAGCTGTGAGACACGAAGACTGAGTCACAAGACAGAGTCAAGCCTGGGACTGAATCCTTGGCCCAACCACAGAGATCCCTGCAGTAAGGGACCTTCTTCCTTCAGTGGTGAGACAGGTGGCCGGCCAGCAAGGCCACAGGCAGTACTGACTGCTTTTGTGACAAAAACAGCAAAGAAAAAAATAAACAGGGAAGCGAGAGGACCTCTCCAAGATGACTTTTTACTGAGACCTGAAAGGAAAAACTAAACCAGCCATCTGGAAGAAATTGAACTTGTTTAATGGACTACAATCAAGCCAATGAACCTTGAGGGGAAGGGGGGGTGCGGGGAGGGGGAGTCCTTAACCTAAAATTTTACCTGGCTGGTACTAAGAAGAAAATGACAGGCGCGTGCATATGTGAACACACACACACACACATACACACAATATGTGTTCTTTTTGTAGTACTAGGGATTGAACTCAACACATTGAACTCAACATTGTCACCTGAGCCACTCTCCAGTCCTTTATGCTTGTAGTATGTTTTCCAGACAGGGTCTCCTTCTGCCTGGACTGACCTTAGATTGTGATCTCACGATCAGCCTCCCAGTCTAAGTAGTTGGGATTACAGTCATGTCCCACCACACCTAATCACAATTATATATTCTTATCGTCACTTTGGCTGCTATGTAGTAAACTTGGGATGCACTGCTTCAGAAATATAATAACGTTTTCAAACTAAGGATAATTAGGCTTAGAATGTAGCTCAGTAGTGGAGTATACACTCACCATGCTCAAGGTCTTAGGTTCCATTTCCAATAAAAATAAACAAGTAAGGTAGTCAAAGGAAGGCTTTTATAAAAACAAACTTCCTAAAGCAAGTACCAGTGGCTCACATCTTTAATCCTAGCTACTCAGGAGGCTGACTTAGGCACACACATTCTCAAGAATCTTACCTTTAATTAACCAGCAAAAAGCTGGAACTGAAGGTATGGCTTGAGTGACAGTAGTGCCTACCATGAGGGAAGAAAGCCTAGCAGGGGCATGAGGCCCAGTTCCAGCCCCAATACTGGTGCACACACATACACACACACAAAGCTTACTTAATGATTGTAGCTTTGTGGTCATACAAGGTTAACACTGAAACAACAATGTCAAAAGGATCACTATTTCATGTTAACAATGAGGATTCAGCCTGCTCTACCAGTTTCTGTGGGATGGAGCCAAGGGTCTCTGGGATGTGAGCATGCTTTGACCAGTTAAGGAGAGAAGGAAGGACTTGATTTGATTTTTTTCTTTTTTAAAAAAAAGGTCCAACTTTGTTTCTCAACCCATTAAGGCAGAACTGTTTCAAGTAGTTAAAACTTGATGCACATCTCAACATTTATCCTTTCAATCCAGGCAATCAACACATATTTGCTTTCTAGTAAGTCCTACAGTTTGTGAGATGAGACTGGAACCTCAGCCTTCCCTGTTAACAAGTACCTTTAAGCAACTATGACGTGCAGCCAGTGTGCATACATACAGACTGCGCACTACAGTGTTGAACAGGACAGTGAGACCCCTGCAAACTTAGAAAACACATTTCCTAAGTCACATGGCAAGATGGACGAAAACTAACAAGTATACTAATAAAGTATATAAGAATATTCCACATAGGAATGGGTGCTGTGAAGGAAATATAAGCAGAACAAGGCAGCCATTTGGGAGGGGCAGAGTAGGCAACGTGAAACACACTAGATTTAGACAAGGAGGTGTACCTGAAGAAGAGAGGTCTGAGCTGAGACATAAAGATCAGCAGATCCAAAATAATTTTTAAATGTCTCAGAGGCGCTGGGCACCAGTGGCTCTTGCCTGTAATCCTATCTATTTAGAAGGCTGAGATCTAAGGATCACAGTTCAAATCCAACCAAGGCAGGAAAGTCTGTGAAACTCTTACCTCCAATGAACCACCAAAAAATCAGAAGTAGTGCTGTGGCTCAAAGTTTCAGAATACTAATTTTGAGTGAAAAAGCTCAAGGACAGTACCCAGGCCCTGCGTTCATGCCCTACAACCCACGGGGGGAAAAAAAAAAAGCAGAAGTGGAGGTGTGGCTCAAGTCACAGAGTACCAGCTAAGTGAGAGCATGAGGCCACATTTAAGCACCAGTACTGGCTTCATAAAAAATAAAAGCTGAGCTAGACACTGGTTGCTCATGCTTATAATCCTAGCTACTAAGGAGGCTGAGATCTGAGGACTGAGATTCAAATCTAGCCCAGGAAGGAAAGTCCATGAGACGTTTAACTCCAATAAACCACCAGAAAACCACCAGAAGTAGTGCTGTGGCTCAAGTGCAAAAAGTGGCTGTGAGCAGCAAAAAAGGTAAAGGGTAGCACCCAGATCCTGAGGCAAGCCCCAGTACTGGCACAATAAACAAACAGACAGAAGTACAACCTACCTGCATTTCTGAGGTCGAACCAGGTGAGCCAGCTCAGCAAACCTCCAAAGGGCAGCACGCAGACTTCGAGGGGCCCCATTCTGAGTGCATTTAATGAGCAACAAGTTACATTTAAGAGTCACATGCACTTGTCAGCAGAAGGGCAATGTGTGAACAAAGATTCTCTTTACTCACTCCTATTTTCAGAGAGGAGGCTAAATGCGTAAAACATCTGGTTTTAGACAGACGGCTTCAATTATAAAGATATATATTAAAAAGTTAAGTTAACCTTTTAAACTTTCATCTAATAAAATGAAGAATAAGCTTCTGGAGAAAAGCAAAACAAAGTCTCCTTTTCAAACAGCATTTTCTCATAATTTTTTCTTATTAACTTCAAAATAAAATTTTAAACATACAGTTGCATTCAGTGTTAAAATATCATCTTTATGACAACGGAAAATAAAGGCCTACCTTTTTAATTTCCTTATAGAGTTCTAACTGTAGCCTTGGCAGATTAGAATCCATCAAAGCCTACAAGGAGACAGAAATAGGGCTGAGACTGTGGCAAAGTGGTAGAGTGCTTGCCTAGCCTACATGAAGCCCTGGGTTTGATTCCTCAGTACCACATACACAGAAAAAGCTTGAAGTAGCACTGTGGCTCAAGTGGCAGAGTCCTAGCCTTGAGTAGAGAGAGGCTCAGGGACAGAGCTCAGACCCTGAGTTCAAGCCCCAGGACTGGCCAAAAAAAAAAAAGGAGCGCATGATACATTCATGGAAGACACACTTACTCGTGGTTCTAAAGGCAAGCAAAATTTGAACTTGGTGGCAAAGTCAACTAGAATAGCAACTAAATTGGAAAACTATTCCTTCCTTCCTTCTCCAACCCCCAGCACTGCCTCATTTGAACTCAAGGACTGGCTACTTTCCCTGAGCTCTTCTGCTCAAGCACAGTGTTCCTACTGTTTGAGCCACAGCTCCAGTTCTGGGATTTCTGGTAACTAATTGGAGATGAGCGTCTCACTGATTTTCCTGCCCAGGCTGACTTCAATCATAATTCTCAGTAGTAGCCAGGATTACAGGTGTGAGCCACCAGAGTTCAGCTGAAAACTATTAAGAAGCAAATGTAGGCAGAAATTACTGGACATACTTGACATGAGTCACTAAAAAGAATTTAACCTTTATCAAAATCAAATACTGCATAACAAAATTAAAATTAAAGCTCTCAGAGTAAACCTTCACTAGATGACACCAATTCAGGTGACAGGCTACAAAGTGAGAAGTGTGAAACAGGCCAAAGATGACCCTCGCGCCACCAGGTAACACTTAGGACCCAGGATCCTCCATCCTTCCTGAAAATCTGGGCCTCCTCTCTGGCAGGGATGCTCACAGCCTCCCCACGCCCCAGCCTATGCTACTGAGAAGCTTCATGGTCCTCAAAGCTCTTTCTTGCCCTCCCTGCTCACTTCAGGGTTAAACCAGAAATAAGGTCCAGGCAGCCCCCTGGTAACCAAGGCTAACAGCTTCTTGTCCTACTCTGGTCCTCTTTTAAAATGTCACTGCAAATGTGTGTTCACTGCAGAGGACAATGTGACCCAGCCCTCCTTGCCACCGGGACATGCACACCCTGCCATGGAAACTCAGCTCCTTCTGACGTGCCAGGTACATGCAAATACCCCGACCCCAAACCACACACCACAACCAGAGTCAGCCAGACATCTTGACACACTCAAGACAGGGGAAGTATGAAACGATGGCTTCTTTGCTTAGCTCTTACTTTTATAACTTTGTTGAGGCATTCATCAGCCACCATCCTGACATCTGACTCCGCATCATCACTACACAGCAGAAAAAGTTCCATAGCGATACCGAGAAGTTTCTGAAATTCTGGAGAATTTCTAAAGTATAAAAAAAGAAAAGACTGTCACAGCCAAGAGGAACCTACAGAGAGACATGATGACAAAATGAATAAAGTATCCAGAATTCTGCATACAATTCTGAAATAGAAAAGGAACATTACATGAAAATTAATGGCTTTAATAGCTCAGCAGTATTGATTGTGAAAAATATAATCCTCTAATGTAAAATACTAAATGGGACAACACTTTCTCTTTCTTGTTAGTATACATTAGCTATACACAGAGGGGAGGTTGTGCTATGACATTTCCATGCATGTGCTCAACATATCCAATCCCCTCCCCACTCCATTACTCTCCACTGTCTTCACTCCCCAGGTCCTAATATAATTTCAAGAGCTTCATAGTTCTTTCTTCATATTTGCCAGGCTCCATCCCTTTCTGGACAATATTCATCCTCTTTTACTCTCATTAGCCCAACAGAACCAGTTTCTCTCTCCCTTTCCTTCCCCACAGACTATTAACAGCCTTAATTCAAGTTCTTATCTCTGTTAAAACACCTATGCACAAGCACTTGGTCCAGCCATGCCTCTGGCTTTTTTGTGTGTGCTGGTACTGGGGCTTGTACTCTGGGCCTGGGCGAGGTCCCAATTTATTTAAGCATATCTCTTATCACACTAAAACGTAATTTAAATAAAATTGAACTTTTTATGGTGGTACTGAAGCTTGAACTCAGGCCCCCAGTACTCCCAGTAACCAGCACAAAACTAGGATGGATGGATGGAGAGAGAGAAGGGGCAAGGAGGGGGCAAGGGGGGGCACATTCTATAGTCCTAGTACTCAGGAAGTTCAAGACCAGCCTAAGTTATTCACGAGTTCAAGGGGGAAAAGCTTCTTGTAAGCAGCAGCATAGCAGCACATACACTGACTTTTTTTTTTTTTGCTGGTGGTCCTGGGGCTTGAACTCTGGGTCTAGGTGCTGTCCCTGAGCTGCTTTTGCTCAAGGTTAGCACTCTACCACTTGAGCCACCATGCCATTTCCAGCTTTTTTGAGTATTTTATTGGAGGTAAGAGTTTCATGGATTTTCCTGCCTAGGCTTCAAACAGCAATCCTCACAGCTCAGCCTCCTGGGTAGCTAGAATTACAGGTGTGAGCCACTAGTGACTGGCTTACTTTTTGTTCAATCTGAATATTCTCTGCCTTTAATGTCTATATTGCTAGGTTTAAATCTACCATTTTTTCCCCTTCTTATCCCACATGTTCTTCCTAATGCTGGCTCCGTTTGGCCGGCCTTGGCATGCATGTCTGAAGGCCTGTTATTGTCACTTAACCACCAAATAAGCAAAAAAAAAAAAAAAAAACGCCAGAAAGGGAACTGTGGCTTGAGTGGTACAGTGCCAGCCTTGAGCAAAAAAGCTCAGAGACAGCACCTAGTCCTGAGTTCAAGCCCCAGGACCAGCACCAAAAAATTAAAAAAAAAAAAAAGGATTGCATACATTTCCTGTGACTACTATAATAAATTACTACAAACTGAGTGGCTTAAAACAACAAAATTTACTCTTCCACAGCTTGAGTCCAAAATCAGTATTACTGAGCTGAAATGAAGATGTAGGCAGTGCTGAACTCCATGAGCTCACTCCTGCTGTGATGGCAACTGGCACTCCCGGGCTACGGTCACATCACTACAACTGTACAGGCTCCAAGGCCAGCACCTTTAAACCTCTCTGCTCCATCTTCACATGGCCTTTTCTCTTTCCCTCTCCTGTCTATGCACACCGCAGAAGCAACAGAAAATTCCAAAGGCCATTCAAATTTAAGGAGAGAGGTAACAGGACATAATAGTCACATGTTTACAGAGTATGTCCATTTCAGCCCTACTCTGTGAAATCTTTGTGAGTATGAAGACTATTCTAAATGAACTACTTATTTATCTGATAAGACCTGTGATCACCCTAGCTCCATAAAATATCCTGTCATAATGTTCCACTGTAGAAGTATAATGAATGCAGCATTGCTCCATAAAAGCAGAGGAGACAAACTAATGTGAAAACTATTATTTTAAGATGGCAAACTGAACCACAACTAAAATCTTAAAACAGTTAAACATACTTAATACAAACATAAAGCTAACATTCTATGAACTCCACAGAATTCTCAAAAAACAGAATGTCAAGCGTAAAGTTCAGAGTATTTAGACTTGAAGAGATCTTATTTTCTGGGTTGGTAGCTTTCAAGAATAAATGATATTCTTTGGGACTAAGTATTCAAGGTCACCTTGCATAAAAGGTTAAAACTTGTACCTCTGGACAATACACATCTCTATGGGATGTTACTCAATGAATACTTCTCTACAGCTAAATCTTCAGTGTTTCCTGTGTACTGCCTGCTGGCACAAAATCTGAAAATGGAGCTGACACTTCAAACATGAGACAACACAGGTTCAAAGACATTAAAGCTTACCTAAAACCACTAGCAGCCAGGGTTGGAGAAAGGCCCCCAAGGGCCACTCCTGCCACTGGTGGTTCATGCCCTGCCACTGGTGGTTCATGCCTATAATCCTAACTACTCCAAAGACTAAGTAAGATCTGAGCATTGTGGTTTAACGTCAGCCCAGGCAGAAAAGGCTGTGAGACTCTTATTTCCAATAAACTACACAGAAAAATTCAGGAATGGAGCTTTGCCTCAAGTGGTAGAGCGCTACTGTAAGCAAAAGAAGCTCAGGGTCAGTGCCCAGGCCCTGAATTCAAGCCCTAAGACCAGAAAATAAATAAGATCACCTAGCTTACTTTTTAAAATTGTTATTGTAGAGTTGATATACAGAGGGTTACAGTTACATGAATCAGGTAATGAGTAATGTTCAATTCTTTTTGAACCATGTTTCCCCTTCCATCGCTCTCTCCCAGTCTTTCCCTCCTGTCCCCAAGAACACTTAGCTTATATAGGAGTCAGAGATGGAATTCAAACCATTTCCCTCTACTTTTTTTTTTTTTTTGGGTCCGGTCATGGGGCCTGAACTCTAGGCCTGGGCACTGTTCCTCAGCTCTTCAGCTCAAGGCTAGCACTCTACCACTTGAGCCACAGCGCCACTTCCAGCTTTTTTCTTTTTG